TATGCACAAACAATGAATCAGGGAACACTGCATCAAAAACTAATGATGTAATGTATGGTGGTTAACATAACAATAAAAAAATTATTAAAAAAAAAGTGTACAATTCAATGGTTTTTAGTATATTCATAAGGTCGTGCAACCACTACCACTATCTAACTTCAGAACATTTTCATCCCCCCGAAAATAAAACCCTGTATCAATCAGAAGTCCTCCCCCTGGTTCCCATTCCTCCCTCCCCTGGCAGCCCTAGTTAACTACTAATTTACTTTCTGTCTCTATGAATTTTCCTATTCTAATACACAGCTTATGGATTTTTCAAAGTGCTTCCACATGTATTATTTTATTCAAAATATTTGTCTTTTAAATCACAACAATAACAATATGGTCTTCACCAAACAAAATAGTCTGCAGCTAAAAGAAATTTTACACAAAAATCTTTGTCTTGGGGTGCCTGGGTGGCTCAGTTGGTTAAGAGACTGCCTTCGGCTCAGGTCATGATCCTGGAGTCCCGGGATCGAGTCCCGCATCAGGCTCCCTGCTCAGCGAGGAGCCTGCTTCTCCCTCTAACCCTCCCCCCTCTCATGTACTCTCTCTCTCTCATTCTCACTCTCTCAAATAAATAAATAAAATCTTAAAAAAAAAAAAAATCTTTGTCTTGCTCAAAATACAAATTAAGAAATGAGGTCATGTAGTTGTATTATCAAAACAATGAAAAACAATCCATAAATTTTTGCTATAAAAACCTACCTCCATATTATAGAAACAATTATGCATAACTGGAATTAGGTAGTTAACATCCACAGTTTGCATCTCTTTAATATAAGAAGTGATGGTCTGGAATGTTGAGAAGCGAACATCAAAGTTGATATCATCAAGATGTCTTTGATCAAAGGCGTTAAGCTACAAGAAATGAAAACATTGAAATACTGTGAAACCCTGAAAACAGAGATGAAGGTATATAAATCTTAAATAAACAAAAATGATAATACTTTTGAAGCAAAAGAGAAATATAAGACTTTCTCTCTTACCTTGACAATATCAGTAATATATTTTAATCCACTCTCAAAATCAGAAAGAGTCTAAAAGGAATGAAAACAGTATATTATTATTGAATAAAACCTTAACTTTTCTGCCCTCCTCCCTTCAACTCCCCCTTTCCTCTCAAATTTATATGAAACAACATGTTGACACCAAGAAAGCTGTTAATATGTGTTACATGTCATAGTTATCTTTTTAAAAAGGGGTGGTTTGGGGGTAGAAATGGGCATTACAGACCTGGAAAACTGTACAAAGCAATTGTCTTGACAACTTATTCTTAATAACCGAAAAGAGTTTTGCTAGAGGCTTGAGGAAGCTTGTAGGCTCCAGACAATGTTTCAACAGGTTTTGTACTGTCACCAAAATATCAACCTCTGTATCCTTAAGAAGAAATATTAAGAGAAATCACATTTCAGTAATTTAGAAAACTGGTCAACTTGGCTTTAATATTACAGCACAAAAAACAAACAATTATCACTAAGAAGCAGAAGTAGTAATTAGAAAAGTTATTTCACAGGCCTTTAAAAGTTCTTAGCATTTTAACTTAACATAAAATCCACAATAATGTCCATTAATAGTTTCTTCCTTTAATTCTAATAGAAAAAGACACATGGTTTTGGAACATAATTTCTTCTATGTCTAGTCCAAAAAGGGCCAAGAAAAATGAGCTTGTTGAAGAAAAATACACACTTCTGGTTGTCTACAGATCTGTGGTCTTCTATACTGAATTACTATGTGGTAAGAGATGTTCAGTGTAGCTACTAAGGTCTTACTGAGTTTGAGCCATGGGAAGACTCTGACTTGAGATTGAACTAAGGTTTGAAATCATTTTAGAAACTCTTAGCTGCATGTAATATTAATATAGACTGACTTTTCATTCAGTTCTGCAACTGTGATCCATATTTAAGATTATACAATGCATTTCTTGGGTTCCAGATTTGTTACTGATCAAAGTGAGAGAGGAAAAAAAAAATCCTGAAATGGACTGGAAGCTAAAGAAAGGAAAATGACTTTTAGGACTGATGATGGTGCTTCTACCTTCTTGCTCACCCTCATTCCTACCTCTATCCTAATGTTTCTTCTCTATTTTTAATTTTATATTTCTGTATAAAGTCTTTTTGCAAATAAATCACAGAATCAAACCAATGAAATTACCGCTCATGGATAAACCTTAATAATGAAGTGCCACTTTAAAGACAAAGCCAATGTCCTGTGAATTTGTACCTGAGCAATATTGCCACGGTGGAGGAAAGGAAGAAGAAGTGTAATGAGCAGAGAACTTTGTTCTTTGTCTCTCATGAACTTGCTGATCCTAGAGAAGGGGAAATACTGATATGTAAGGAAGATAACACAAGAGTACTTCTCTAAAAAGTTAAACTTTTTGTAGAAAAACATGTTACATACACAGGTGGCTTTTATGTGTTCATGTAGGAAAAGTTTAACTGACTTATAACAGTGTCCACTTTTATTTCTCTCCAACTTCAGGCTCATGGCTACTATTCTATTTCTCTTATAACATCTGATTTTATAGGTGGGTTATAGTAAACTCCGATGCTATAATCTAACAATTAGTAATTTTTTAAAAATTTTTTTATTTTTTTGACAATTAATAATTTCTTATTTTACAAAGAAAATAACATTTTTTAGTGCCAAGACTTATTTAAGGCTTTATGTACAGTATTTCGATTTAACTCCCATGATAGCCTTCAATGTAGGAATTATTTTTAGCCCCATTTTGCCCAAAGAAAACTGAGACTCAGAGAAGCTGACGTCACACAGCTAAGAAATGGTAGAGGAGACCTTTCAAACCCTGGTCTTTCTGGTGCCTAATCTCTCATCCACTTTGCACTACCACACAGCCTGTGATAAAATTAATGAGTGTATTTTGTGTGGTTTCCCATTCTGCATAACTTAGAAATACAATAGTATAAATAAAACATTTCAAAGAAGTTCCTAAAAGATTCTAATATATCACTTTTTGTTGTTGTTGAGAAAAAATAAACTTTAAACAGCTAAGTCCTGTAACAATTTAAGAGTTTAAAATGGAAACATTTTTTACACTCTGGTTTATCAACCTTGCTACAGAAATCTCAATTATATATTACTAGGTCTATTGCCAAAAAGAATCTTTAAAAATCCTTGCAAGATCTTCACCTTAAAAAACAAATAAACAAAACAAACACAACCTGCTCTTTTAAATGAATTATTTTTTATCAATTAAACTAAAAAAAATAGGAAAAATGTGATCTCATGTAAATCAAAACTGTAACTGAACAAAATATATGAATCTGTTAGTCAAGTTTAGAATTTTGAAGACTGTTCTCTCATAATAAAATGAAGGCAGATGCCATAAAAGTTTTCTAATGAATATTCCGGCAGAGAAACAGAATTCTGTATTAACTTAAAAAATGAAGGGCATTTAGGGTGCCTGGGTGGCTCAGTTGGTTAAGCGACTGCCTTCAGCTCAGGTCATGATCCTGGAGTCCCAGGATCAAGTCTCGCATCGGGCTCCCTGCTGGGCAGGGAGTCTGCTTCTCCCTCTGACCCTTCCCCCCTCTCATGCTCTCTCTCTCTCATCCTCTCTCTCAAATAAATAAATAAAATATTTAAAAAAAAAAAAATGAAGGGCATTTAAAACTACTGAAAATCTTTTCAGCTTATTACCACATTAAAATAATTGAAAAACTAGATATAATTTAGCAAAAATTAAAACCACGGACCAATATATCACTTACTTTGACAGAATGCCAAGTTCCTTACTGACTTGTGCCCTATTCTTCTTCTTTTTCACCTTTTCTGCACTTATTGTGGTTTTGCTGAAATACTGGAGAATTGCAGGAACATGAGGTAGAATTAATTGTCCTCCCAACGTGATAGACTCTGAAAAAAAAAAACAGTGATAAATGTTTTTATTTTAATTAACTATTCTCTTAAAGGATAATCATACACTATCTTCATAATGACAGACAAGGAGAGCACTCAATTTTCATAAAAATTTAATAAATTTCAACTCTAAAGATTAAATCACTTTTTTCTTAGTCACAATAGCTGTATTATTAGCTAAATTAAAAATTGATATAAGAGACCCCTGGGGCTTTATGTAAGCCATTTTTGGTAGTAAAAGAACTGTTAGGATAATTTGACAGGAAGAATTCAGAGACATGACAGTGGAAGTCATTTATTAATTTCCTGATGGATAGTTGAGCTCTCTGGAGCATAATTCTGAATTTCTATCACTGGAAAGAAAATTCTGTTTATAGAGAAAAGAAAGTTTTTTAATAATATAAGTAATTAAAAGAATCAAATTGTATTGACTTTTTCCCTTTCTGAGGGCACAAATGCTACTTCAGAAATCTAAGAATCATTTGCATTGTACAGCACACATACCATCTGCACTTTCTGTGTATACACATCCAGTTACTGGCAAGCTCAAAAGTGTTTCTGTGGGTTCAAAATCTGGAAGGTTAAGAAGGTCATCGGCTATATCCATCACAATAGAGGCTGTGGCTTCAGAGAGATTCTTTGCTGAGAGAATTGCAAAAACGTTGGTCAGAATATCACACTCTGGGTACCCAGGTTTCTGTTTAGCCAGGAAAGGGAAATATCTGCAAGGAAAAACATTGAAATTGTCATCTTATTTCTCAATATATTTATTTCTGAAAACATGCTCCATATGCATTTTCATACTGAGTTTAAATATATATGTGTATGAACATCAAAAGGGAAATTACTTCAAATTTTAAAATTTGATGGATAATTCTAGGCACCTCAAAAGATTATGTTATTTAGGCACTTTATGTGTATCTCTCATTTAATCCTCATTACATCTCTAGAATGTGGTAACATTGTCCCCACATTACAGATTAAAAAACCTGAGACGTGTCTAAAGCCTGAGCTAGTAAGTAGTAAAGCTGAGATCTGAACCACAGTCTAAGCCTTTTCTAAAAGAAATGTATTGAAGACAGGCTACTTTTCAATTATAAGCCTTCTAGAATGTGAACGTTTATACGCTCACATAAAAACCAATGCACTACAACATGGGAATCAGGAGTACAGACCAAAGAAATATTTGCTATATCAGGATATGCAACATTCGATCATGATCATTTTTTGGGAGAGGTGGGTGAATCCATCCCCAAGTATGAAAGATGAAAGACTCACACAAATGATAGAAGCATCCCACCCAGAGGAAACACACCAACAAGGGTAGAGAGCACAAAGGCTTTCCAGCCAGTGGCAAACCAGCAACTGTTTTATGTCAAGGAGGTAGTCCTCTTAACAATCAGCAGGAAGGTAAAACCGAAAAAATTCAGATAGTTTTACTAACTTATCATCCTTTGAAAAAGAGCTCAAACACTTTTAATTTACTTAGTACTAACAAACTGAGGAAAAGTTCTAAGTGGTTGTTTTCATACATCTTTGTCCCAACAGATATTGGGCATGGCGTGGGCAGGCACCAAGCCAATGACCTTCCTAACCTTCCATATTTTGAACCCACAGAAACACTTTTGAGCTTGCCAGTAACTGGAGGTGTATACACAGAAAGTGCAGATGGTATTACACATTACCATCTCTATTATCAGTGAGGTAGGTACTGCTATTATTTCTATGCTACAGGTGGTAAAATGGAGGCTCAGAGAGGAGAGGCCAACTTTGTCAAAGAACATGAGGTGGTGCTAGGATTTGAAGCTAGGTTTGTGTGGCTTTGGAGACTGTTCTCTTAACCACTATGCTGTATGGTGTCTTAACATGTTTTCAAGCACAAAAGGTGAGAGGACTGCTTTCAGTTGCCGCCAAGGTCCTAGCAAGAACCCATTCAAATTCAGTGCAACTTCTAAGTGACCAAACTGTGTTTCTTGAACAGCAGTAGAACTTGAAGCCAGGGTATCCTGGACATGCTCCATGCTTAAGTGTACAGCTCTGCCAGAAATTTCAGTCACTCTTTCTTTTTTTTTTTTTTAAAGATTTCATTTATTTATTTCAGGGAGAGAGAGAATGAGAGATAGAAAGCACGAGAGGGAAGAGGGTCAGAGGGAGAAGCAAACTCCCTGCTGAGCAGGGAGTCCGACGTGGGACTCGATCCCGGGACTCCAGGATCATGACCTGAGCCGAAGGCAGTCGCTTAACCAACTGAGCCACCCAGGCGCCCTCAGTCACTCTTTCAACACGTAATGAATACTGACTAACCATGGACTAAGAGGGGTACAAACCCCCTGTGGAGGAAGGTATAGTAATAAATGAGAAATGATCTCTGCCCTCAGGGAGCTTTAGGTAGGTGAGCTATTAAGAGATGAGTGCATTAAAGGCAGCATGTAATCATAGGCCCTTCCGCGAGTGGGAAGCTCAGGGGAAGAGATGGAACCACGCGGGGGTCATGGTGGTCAGAACCAGAACAGCTATCAGATAGAGTGGCCAGGGACAGTCCCAGTTTATCTTGGTTATCCTGGCTTAATTATTTATAGGATCTCTTTTTGCACTCAGGAATATAGTCGGGATGATATGATCACTCTAGTTAGTGAGCAAGTTTTTGTTGTCCTGAGTTCACTTAATTTCTGAGACAATTTAACCTTAGTTGTGAGCTTGAAAATACTGGCTATAGTTCAGCTCTACTTGCATCTGTCCAAATACAAAGTAAAATGCTAGACTTCTCTGTAGATGAAAACCTGTCTGAATGTCTGACACTATATAAACGGTAACCATACTTCAAAATAGAATTTTCTTTTACTGAAGAGACACATTCCCATCAAGTGGTTCTGAAATATGCATTTTTAAATTCTTCCACACACAACAACATACACGCATATCTGTTGTTATGGAGATTTCAAGGGAAGTCAATACTTCTAAAGATTTCTTTCAGGAAGAGTTACATAGAAAATTAAAAAAAAAAAGTTCTGCAGCCCACGTCCTCTATTGCTCTGTGGCTTCTATTTTTTTCCAACCCATAATGAGAAAGACACTGCAGAACGTACGATGAAGTGGCATCCAATGATGGGGATCTGTACCTTAAGTAAGAACCCAACTAATATAACAGGGAGTCACTATTGCCAAGTCTTCTCGGATAGAGTCCTTCATAGGATATGCAAATTATGCAGCTATAAAACATTTCTCAAGTATGTCTATGAAGTGCTGCTTATAAATGTCCAGTTATAAGACAAGATATGAAACAGCTTTCTCAAGTTGGGAGATAAATGAAAAGAGGCCTTACTACCAGTAAAAATATTTTATTTTATTTTTTATTTTTTATTTTTTTTTTTTTTAAAGATTTTATTTATTTATTTGAGAGAGAGAGAATGGGAGAGAGAGAGCACATGAGAGGGGGGAGGGGCAGAGGGAGAAGCAGACTCCCTGCTGAGCGGGGAGCCCGATGTGGGACTCGATCCCGGGACTCCAGGATCATGACCTGAGCCGAAGGCAGTCGCTTAACCAACTGAGCCACCCAGGCGCCCAGTAAAAATATTTTAAACAGGTTTTCCCGAGGAAGACAATGTCAAGGTCTTTGGTTTGTTTCTGATGACTATTTAATGACGGGCAAATGTTCATGATACAATGGTACAAGAAAAAAAATACAATCAAAAGTTGGTTATACAATATGATACCAATTTTGTAAAAACTGATGCCAAGATATTAAAATCTTGACCTTTACTGAATCAGTAGTAAAAAAAAAAAAATTTTTTTTTTTTTAATTCTACCTTTCATTCCTCAAAACAGATCAGGGCAAACTTAAGTCTGTTTCCATCACTGAAATAAACAACATAGGTTTCTACACTCCTCAGTAAATATGCACTTGGTCTGTGACATAAGCATCTCTGAACCATCTGTAGATAAAGGTCTTGTAAACAGCTCATAATGTCCTCAAAAGGGTGTTGATTTATGACTATGAGAACTCTATGTATATTTAGACATAGTTTTACAAGAATGGAGGACATCTAGAAAAACTAAAAAAGCCTGTGAAATTTTCCTGATTTTAAGTGGTAACTGGGAAAAAGACATAGAATGCCAATTACAAATCAGCTTTTATTTTTAAGCAAGCATGCAAAAAATAGGAATATTTATAGTTGGCATAACTACAGGTATCCCCGGCTTTTCAAAAGTTCATATTATACCACTTTGGTTTTGTGAAAGAAGGTGGTAAGCGAAAAGAGCCTTCACCATTTGTTTTTGCAGTGAGCCGTTACAGGGGCAGCATGCACCTCCTGAGCAGCGACAATGGCCCCGTCAGGCTCCTTCCCTGGAAACTACACTCCGTAGCTCAGTATCCAGCTGCCAGAGCTGTGAACAGTGTCTGGGAGCATCTGCGCTTTATCTCGATTTATTTTGTGCATCCCTTAGCAAGATGTGACCTAAGGTATCGGAAAAGCCTAAGAGAAGTTATTTTTTGGATCTAGAAACACTAAAACATTCTTCCATATAAATTAATAGGAATTACTTCTTTGCTTTATGCCATCTCGGCTTATGAAAGGTTTCACAGGAACGCTCTACTTTCAGATAGCAGGGGAAACCTGTATCTGCCATGTTTCACATTCTGTTTTTCCCTTTCCCAGGCCAAATCAAACTACTGAAACAATTACTACAGATTAGAAGAACATCCCTATCAATTCCAATACTTCTGATTTCTAAGTATTAATGAAACTGTAAAACTAGCACAAATGCGTAAGTTTTGCTAGAATATATACTATACAATTTTAACTTACATTGCAAAATGTTATTTTACCTACTTTTCCCTTTTTTAAAAGTTATAAGTGAACATTCCAAAAATATCATAAAAAGTACCTCTTCCCTGCTCTGGGGTACCCAAACCTCCACATGCTATAGTAACATTAACAGTTTCTCATGTATCCTTCTAGACATTTTCTACTTCATTTTATATTTATATGCATGCACAGGTATTTTTCTTGGATTACACTGTTCAGCAACTCGTATTTTTCTTTAAACCTGTGTATTTTGAAATTCAGCTACCTTATTCTCTTTAACGGCACCTGTGGTATTTCACCATAAATTATATTATTAGTAACCTTGACTCATTTTGACTAGATTAGTCTAAAACACTATCCTTTTTAAAGGTGGGAGAAAAAGGGTCATACCTTGCATTTCTGCTCCAGATACTAATTAGTTTCAGCAGAGGAGTAGGAGAATACTGACTCTCAGATCCAAGCCTTCTGATCTAGGACACAAAATAAAAACAGAATACAAAATAAAAGCACATACAGAATTGTGTGTGTGTGGGGGAAACAACTAAAAAGCAGAACAAGTATAGAAACCACACCAGAGGATAAAGAGCCAAGGGACAGAGATTAACATTTAAAGGACAGACTGAAGAAAAAATAAAGGAATCTTAAATAATATCTACCCAGGAAAAATGGCAAAGATGGAGCAAGGAAGTGCTAGACACTTAAAAGGAATGAGGTACTTTAGGTTTCAACTGGTTAGAAACAATAGAGCTCAAGCAGCTAGAATTCCTAAAATCAAGTCTCCTCCATAGTCTTTTTAGCTATAGTTATACCAGGTATCATTACAAAATGGTTACAAACAAGGAAATATGTAACAAGAATATCTGAGTATTTTCTCTTATGCTTGTCAAAATCCAGAGACACATCACTGAGGTGCTACAACAGTTAGATTCCACTTGCTTAAGATACACAATCATATTCTAAATAACCTTAAGGTATAAAAGTCACGGTATTACAGAAACCAGCTCTTGAGCTTTAGGTGACAGTGGAGGCAAAGAAAAGTGTTCTAAAACTTCCAGAACCAAAGGAAGACTCGATGTAAAAGACCAGGACACGCATTCATAGACTGTGCTGGTTAAAGTAATAACAAAGGAAGTAGAAGGTATCCAAGCAGAATGTAGTAATAAAGTTTACCTGGGGCCAAACTGCACCATGAAATACAGCATCAATTTCTTCAGTTCTGAATTGGTAAGACTCCCAATCCAGAAAGATGTCAGTTACCATTTTGATTCCAAGACGTCTTAAATTTTTCAGTGGGTTAATAAACCTGAGGTGTATCTGTAAAACAAAGACCTTCTCTTAAAAAAAAAAAAATGTATTTCATTTTTATCCTTGATTCCTCAAGGAGGCACTATTGCTCAGATGGTTAAGAATCAAACTGGAAATTCTGTTATTAAGTCTGTTGACTGTGGCTCTGATTCACATGGAAATTCAACTCATCATATCATACTGCTTTTCTAATCGAACAAGATGGGAAAGCAGAAGACTTAAAAAATCAAATGGTGAGATGTGCTCCACTATCACTGCCCAGTAAATTCATTTTAAAGTGTCCCGGGGGGGGGGTGGAATCACAAGTGGAACAGCTGTTTTGTGTCCTACATTATTGTATTTCTTTATCCAAGTAATTGTCTTCAAATAAAATCCCGATTTCTTCCTATGAACAGAACATTCTAAATAAAACAAACTTTTTTTTCCCTTTGCCATCACAATGCCTTAGATTAGGGGGGAAATCAAACCTTTATTTCAAATGAAAGTTACTTTCTCTTTTGTTTTCATAACTTGAACTATTATTTTTTACTTTTTCTAAAACTAGGAGTTTTCAATTATTCTTATTAAAATTAGTCTAGGAGACTAAAGAATTTTTGGTATCTCTATACAGTAGAACACCTCACACAGTATAAGAGAATGAGGCAACTGAATCAAAGCATGAGAAGATCTCAAAATATGCAGCTCAAAGAAAAATGCAATTTGGAAAAAAATCACAATTTGTCTGTTTAGAGGCATAGAGGCTGGAGTGGGCAAATTAACAGCAAACTTCTTTCATAACAGACTCTGCTACTTCTACTGGCATCTCCTTCCCTGCGGGTTACAACATCACAAATATGTGGCCAGTTTCTTCAGGCTCAGAGCAGAATAATTTATTGAGCCGCCACCAATGAGTCCCGTGGTACGACTGCCATAGGTCTGACCTCAGCTTAAAATCTCACTGAAGGAAAATGTATTAAATTACATGATAGACTGAAAATGCCAAAGATATCCAAGAGGGGAGGAATTACAAATTTGAAAAGGGAAAAGCTTCATGGAAGAGGCAGAATTTCTAGTGGATCTTAAAGGAATGTTGTAAAAACCAAATAAATGAGGTAAGGTGCAACCCCTAATTATTTTTCCATTTGATTAATATACTGTGGTCTCTGGATATGTAAGTGGTGACTTATTTTTACATGTGACCTTAGTGACCTACATCAAAATCCAAAAACCACCCTGAAATTTATGAAGACAACACAATACTCTAATATAATGAACATCAAGTTTTATGGCCACAACATCATGAAGAAAATTGTAGACTTTAGTTCCTAGAGGAATAGCCCATTTGACTGAATTTCATGTACATTTAAAAGTTACCCTGTTGTTTAAATGTTCCAAAATAATAAAATCAAACTAAAACAAACCTCATTATATACACTTAAGTCAATGCCTTGGAGGAACTAAAAGATACAAAAAAAGTAAATGTATAACTTAGCTCAAATACACAAATGTAGAAGTTTAACTTACTTAAGCAGTATTACTGTGCAGTAATTCATTACAGTACCTCAAGGAATTCTTTGAACTTGTCCAAGAATTTTTTAAAAAGCTCCAAACTATCAAAAAGCTTAGCACCTCACTAACTAATGATCTATGAAATTGCATAAATGATCTTTTGAGTTACTGATTATTGACTCAGGAGTAAGGCTGCATTACTGAGTAACTTCTAAGTTAACCAAAAAGTCAAAGAACTTTTACAGAGTTTATAAAATCTCTAACCTTTCAAGATTTAATATATACAAGTATAGATAAAGTCACTATCACTCACTATAAGGCATAAATGAAAATTCTCACAGAACTTCCTATGGCCATGAAGCTCTCATACAACATAAAGAATTTTCCAAGACCTGTTTTCAGCTTCCACTGCTGGCCCTCCACAAGCCTCTTTTTCACAAAGTAATCAGAGTGAAATTTTAAAAACATCAAACAGACCTTATCCCTCACTCCCTGGCTTCAAACTTCTCCAGTTTTCCCAGTAGACTTCAGAGCGCATCCATCTCAGAGCCCATGAGGCCCTACCTACCTCTCGACTTTATCTTACATGATTCTTCTCCCTCCTTGTGCTCCAGCCATCTTGCCCTTCCATCTGTTCTGAGAATACGTCAAAACTGTTCTACCTCAGGGACTTTGCACTACTAGCCATTTTCTCTGCCTGAAATGTTCTTCCCACAGCTGGGTAGATAGAGGAGTTCAAATATTACCTCCTTAGACCTATCCACTCCCAGTTTGGTCACTTCTTATCACATTCCCTCAATTTATTTTAAACTCTTCATGTCTTCTTGTCTCTCCTCAACATGCTCATGTTTTCCTCTACTTTTGTGAATATATGGAGTGTATTCCTAATAGCTGTTTTAAGTTTTTGGCTAATTCTATCATCTATGCCACTGCTGCATCTGCTTCTATTGATTGGTTTTTTTCCTTATTATGAGTAAAATTTTCATCCGTCTTGGTATGCCTGGTAAAACTTGACTGGATGCCAGACACTGAATTTTGTTTTCATTTAAATCATTTGAACTTTTGAGTCTTGTTCTCAGATGTAATTAATTTACTTGGAAAAAGAGCATGAGCTTTGTAAGCTTTGTTAGAGGTGTTGCTAGGGCAGCCTTTATTCCAGAGCTAATCTGGTTCCACTACTGAGGTACTCCCCTGCCCAGGACTCTTCCTGGTGCCTTGGGTATTACGAAGTTTCTACTCTGGCTATTGGGAACATGAGCTGTTCCTAGCCTTGTGTTAGTCGGAGGACTGTTCTCTGCCTGCTCCTTTCTCATAGTTTTTCCACATCTGTTCAAGATGGATCAAAAGGGACTTGATTTGGCCTTCCTTCTCAAGCAACTAAAAAACTGAAGAGAATCTGTGAGAGAATGATTTTTAGATACTAGACAGTGTGCAGCAAAGGGCAGTAAGCCCTGAGAGGATAAACAGATGAGGTGAGTACTATACGTTCCCCAGATTCCTGCTTGGAGTTTCAGGGATTAGTGGGAGAAGGAAGAGTCCAGGCACAGGCCAGTCATCCTCCCAAGATGAGGAGACAGAGTAGTGTGGCTTGGGGAGAACGAAAAGGCAGAGTACTGGAGGGGAGAAAGCTACACAGACATCTGCAGAGGTTCTCATTTACTTCCCTCTCAGGTCTCACCACCAACTGACATTATTCTAATTATTTGTGTGTTTATTTATTTATTCTTTTTCTCCCATGATACTGAGTCCTTACCTGTCTCATTCCCTACCTAGAATGATGTATGATAGATGGTAGATGTGAAATGAGTATTTACTGAATCAATAAATGGACAGGAATTTTTGTTTGCCTTGTTCACTGCTCCATCTCTGGTGCTTAGAACAGTGCCTGTCACATAGCAGGGGCTCAATTAATATTTGTTGAAGGAATGAATGAAAGAATAAAGAAAATGGTGTCTAACAAAATAGAAGGTGTGTTCTAAATCCCTGGAGCTTGGTAATCAGAGAATATTATTTCATCACTAAAGCAGATTTATATCCATGTGTAGCCCAAGAAACAGCATAAAATTCTGGCTGTCAGTTTTTAGTTATCATGACCATACCTGAGAGGCAGTTCACCAGGCATATCCACAAATCAAAGGAAACAGATTTTAGCCCAATTAAAACTGTGCCCATTTATCATTAACTGAGCATCAACAGCAGAAATCTGAGTCTAGATCTTCACTTCAAGTCCCATTAAGAAGCCTTTAGTCCATAAAGACATTAAGTTTCTCTAAGCTTTCCAAAGAGCGTACTTATGCCCACACACTTGTTTCAAGAGAACATAAATATAGAGTCTTTAATACAATTCAGAAAATATTTACTGAGCACCATCTTGTAAAGCCTCTGGCAGTTAGCTCAATGCTGGGTCTTGCTACTTATCCTTATTCAAAACATTGCACTTATAGTAGGCAAGAATTTACTTGTAAAAGACCTCTGGGCAACTCTTATCTCAAAATAACAAGACAAGGATGATGCTAACCGTATTCTGTTCATTCTCCAACCATTCTTGATAGAGCTGGAAGATGTCCTATACCTCGAGGCTCTTGAAATCAGCTCAACTATCCCTGATTTTAGTTTGAGATGTATATAGAACTAACTCACACCCTATTATTTAAAAACTCTTTAAAATACACAAGTGACATACAGCTGACCCTTGAACAACACAGGGGTCAGGGGCATTGATCCCCTGCACAGTCAAAAATCCCTGTATAACTTCTGACTCCCCAAAATCTTAACTACTAATAGCTTATTGTTGACTGGAAGCCTTACCGATACCATAAACAGTCAAATAACACATACTTTTTATGTTTTACGTATTATATACTGTACTCTTACTTTATAATAAGGTCAGCTAAAGAAAAGGTTATTAAGAAAATCATTAGGAAGAGAAAGTACTTTATGGTGCCGCACTGTATTTATCGGAAAAAAAATCCCATTTGTAAGTGAACCCACACAGTTTAAACCCATGTTATTCAAGGGTCACCTGTAATTTGCATCCTCCAACTACACATAAATATTTAAAACAGTGAAGACTGTTAGATATTCAGATCCCAACCAATTTCCCAAGTAAAATGCTTTAGCCCAAGAAGAAAGCAACCTCAGTGAATGTCTCTCACCTTTTCTCGCTGGTCAAGGATGTGTGATGCAGTCGCTGTCATGCACAGCAATATCTGCAAAATCTTTGGTAAGTATGCACTGATCAGATGATTGATGTTCTTCAATACTATTTCAAGGCTATTTAAGATACCATGCTGACGACCTAAAGGAAGAACTTTAGACAAATCCAAATCTTCTACTGCTTGAATGACCGCAGAATGACATTCTCCTAGTGAAACAGAGATATCATGTAAAAGGAAATATTACTCTCTAATTACAGCTTCCTTTGGTCAATTCCCTCAATTATAGAGTATTTTCTACTGTTCCAATGACTTAAAGATAATGTACTTTCCTAATGTATTTTCTCCTGATTCTCTTACCAAATATTCAATGAACTAGGCATGATAGGTTTTAGTATTATCACACTATAGATGAGGAAACTGAGAATCAAGGAGAAACTTGTGCCAGAATTAAGTCTCTAAGCCCCATTCTCATCCTACTTAGACTACTCCCCAAAACCTGAAATAGCAATAGTCTTTTGTTCCACCTAACAACTTCCCATACATTTTTCTCACTCTCAGCTTTCACTGTCTATGATGACTTGAGCAGTTCCATAGAAAGTGTCCTGCCTGCTACCTTAGAAGCTTCTTGAATGCTGAGGATCAAATGCTTTCTCTTGCCACCCCTGAATAAATAAAAGAATAGTCTTTTATAAATAGGCACCAAATTGATTTTGTAATTTACTTAAAAGACTTGAATTGTTATTGCATGAGCTTTACTTCAAACCAACTGGTATGAAATCATGAGCTTGCTAATTCATACACCTAAATGGTCTATCCAAAAAGAGTATCATTTATAGCTATCCTCTTACAATGGAAACTGTTTCACTGAACAAAAGCCTTTGTCTTCCTTCATCAGAGCCAACTTCCTTCGCAGGGCAATATTACACTGAACGAAAACATTTTAACAGGTGAATCCATTATCATAGAAACAATACAAAATTTCATACAACACATTACCATGCAAATAAATACCTGTGTTTGCCTAAAGCAAAGTGATTATGGGGTGAGAGCAGAGATTCTACAGTCAGAAAGATCTACTATTTTCTAGCTGAGTGGTCATAAGCAAAATAGTAAACTCTCTAAGCCTCAGTTTCCTCATGGGTAAAATTGGAATAGCCAAGTAATGATACCTCAGGTGGTTGTTTTAAGGATCAACTGAACTGTATGTAAAAGGGCCCATCATAACGTCTGGCATGGAGTAAATGTTAGCTATTATTATTATTATTAATTACTAACATTGCATACCAGAGAAAAGACCATAGAGCATTTCAGCTCACTGGATATACCTATTATATCCACTTAGTTTAGATGGTGACGTTGAGAGCATAAATATTTACTTTTCTATTTTCAAAAGTATCCAGGGCACAGGAGGTATTCAACAAGTCTTTAGTCAATAGATGAATGACTCAGTGAATGAATAAATACTAAGACAATTAAAATTAATTTCTCAGCATGCCCTAAGTTTCTAAGGAGAAACCTATACATTGTATCTGGGTAAGTACCATTTTTCAAATGGCCTAAATGCACAACAGCAAAAATACACAGTTCTTTTCTTTCTTATTTTATTTAAGTAATCTCTACACTTAATGTGGGCCTCAAACTTACAACCTTAACTCAAGAGTCATATGCTCCACCAACTGAGCCACCCAGGCACCCCCCAAAATACACATTTTCTAATCAGGGGTTTACTGACCCATGGATGATGATAATCGCCAGGATCAACTGTGAGCTCCACCTAATTCAAACTTTAAAGGCCACCAATGAGATTGGAAGGAACAATCCCATTAGAAAGATGTCCAAGAGCATGGGAAACCTAGCCTGAGACATCTGAAGTCTACAGCAGACAATACACATTCAGAGTAGCAGGAAGTTGAGAGCTACCGTTCTTGAAGTGCTTCACAGGTTCAAATAGCAGGTCTAAGAATATCTGGATCTCCTCTGGTTGGGTCCCAGCGAGGAACCTCAGGACAATGGACATGCGGGTGCCTGAAGCGGCTTTCCCCTGAGTTTTACTGCCGGTCTTATTCTTCATTCGGCCATACAAAATTCTAATAAGTCAAAAGAATATTATTTTGTTTGCACATTAATCCTAAAACATAATACCAGTCACTTTGTTTTCCTAAGAGGCTAGAATAGCAATTCAACAGACTTAAAAGGTTATATTATAAAACAAGGAAGGATGAAAATAGAAATTAGATATTTAACATAGAAAATTTAGAACAACAAAAAACAACCACCACAAAACAAACAAAAAAAAACAAGGCTGAGGGAAGTAGGAACAAGGAAATAATAAAGATAAAAGCTGAAAGGTGGCTCTTTGTAGGAGGAAAAAAACAGTAAAATAGGCAAGCCAAATGAAAATGAGAATACATAGATTAAAAGGAAGTAAGTGAATACAACTCTATTAAACAAGGAAACTGGAAAGACTTCAATTAAATGGGTAATTATCTGGAAAAGAAAACAGAACAAATAAGCAAAAGGAACTTAACAAGAAAACCTGAATAGAACAGTAATCATGAGTAAACATGGAACCCATACAGTTCTTCAGATGAATTTTCTAAATTTCAAGGAAAACTAATCCCCATGCTATAAAGTTTCATAGTTAAGAGAAAGAAGGAACAGTCCTTTCTCATTTATGAAGGTTGAGATGGGTTGAGGAACAAAAATAAAATTATATACCAATCTTGCTTATAAACATAAAACCCTGTATTTCTAAATACAGTATCCAGTGCTGCATTAAAACAATATTAAAGCCAAATAAGGATTTATCCCAGGAATGCAAGAAAGAATCACTAATAAAGCCTATTGGATTGATATAGATCAATGGCTCATAGGAAAAGTTAATATAATCATTTTAATACATGCTTAACAGGCATTCTAAGAAAATTCAATATCCATTGCTGATAAAATACTAAACAATCTAGTGATAGGACTTACTTTCTTAGTATGGCAAATGTTAATTTATAATAAATGTTAGTGCTTTAACATTTGAAATTGAAACACAAGTGTTTTTAAACTTTTCGATATTAGGACCCCTTTATATTCTTAAACATTTTTGAAGTCCCCAAAGAGCTTTTGTGCATGTGAGTTTTATCTATTGATATTTATCTTGGTAGAAATTAAAATGAGTTAATGTAAATAACAATTTTAATGAAAAATTTTATTTTCCAAATCTCTCCCCCACCAAAACTTAGTGAGTCTAGAAGCATGTTTTACTTTCCTTTTTTCACATTTTTTTATTGTCTTGCTTATTAGAAGATAACTGGATTTTCCTATCTGCTTCTGCATTCAATCATTTGCAGTATATTATAGTTGAAGAAAATCCAGCCTTAAACAGATATGCAGTTGGAGAAAGGAAAAAGTATTTTGTAAGCCTTCAGGTAATTCTTTTGAGATCCTTGTGGATATCCCACTTTGATACTACAGCAAACCTCAACAAGTTAAAGGCTAGTTGCAATGCAGAATCTTAAGCCTTATTAATAAGCTTTGTGATCTGTTACATTAAAGTCCATCTATCTTGCACTTTGGATGGATCTTTAGCCATGAATGATTCTGTAACTTGCATCCATTATTTGGAAAACACGCCACTCCATGAGGATTCAGCAGAAGTGCTTTACGCACACTTCCCACTTCATCATATAAAACAATAAAAAGACAAGTACTCGAGGCTTAAGACTTACCAAGAACATTAAACGAAACTAGCTTTTTTTCTTTTTTTAAACTCCGGGTGTGTGGCAATGAAGAATGCCTTGTACAGTTCGGAGCCACTGTCCTGATTAGTGCTAAGGCACCCACAGTTTTACCCACTGTTGTTTTTTGTGTTGTCAACACAAATCTGGGCACGGTGGTAAAAGGTAATGTCTTAGTAGTATTATTAAAAAAGTTCTAACCTCGGGGACCCCCCGAAAGCATCTCAGTGACAGCCCTGCCAAGAAGGAGCAGACCAAATTTTAAAAAGGGCTGCTCTACAAGCATTATTGTTAAGTCCACTAGCAACACAGGGATAACCACAAACACTACCACCACAGTTAATTCTTCTATGCTGTGTAGGTAATACGTAAATTAAAAAACAGAAAAAAAGAGGGTTTTTTTAATCATAAAAGAATGCAAAATTAATTTGACTAACATTGTCTACAGGCCATGGAGTTTACCTTCTGGCAGGGGAGAAGAGTGATAAGTAGGAGGCTATGTCGGACGATTGTGAGGAAAAATAAAGCAAGGTAGGAGACTACCGGGTGATGACAGGAAGGTGTGATTTTACATAAGGTGATCAAGGAAGGCATCCTGACGATATGACATTTGAGAGGAGACTGCGTGCAAAAGAAGAGCTAGTGGTCATGTGTTCAAAGTACAGGGAAGAGCAAATCCACTGACATGGAAGTGGGCTCTGAGGGGGGCGGTGAATGCGTGGTGGGTTGGACAGGCAGTCTGCAGCTAGGTCATACCAGGCCCTTGAAGGAGGAATAAGGACTTTCTACTTTATTCCCAGTAAAATGGAACCTCAAAGGGTTTTTTCTTTCTTTTTTTTTTTTTTTAAAGATTTTATTTACTTGAGGGAGAGAAAGAGAGAGGGAGAGAGAGCACGGGGGAGCGGCAGAGGGAGAGGGAGAAGCAGGCTCCCCACTGAGCAGGGAGTCCAACTTGGGACTCGATCCCAGGATCCTGGGATCATGACCCGAGCCGAAGGCAGAAGCTTAACCGACTGAGCCACCTAGGCGCTCCCCCAAAGGGTTTTTTTAAATAGGAGTCTAACACTTTGATGACTGTTATTGACTATTACTTTTTCATCCAAGAAAATCCAATAAAAACAATTAAAACTAATAAGAAAGGTTTGTAATGTCGATGGTTAAATAATCAACACCAAAAATCAATAGCCTTTATATCTCATATACCCAACGAATTATCTTTACTCTTTCTCAATAATAAAACTTAGAGGAACAGAGGATTCAATTTTAACATTATTATTAAAATAACTCCATGGCAAGATCTTTCCTGATGTTAGGGACAAAATATTTTAAAATAAGTCTCTATAACAATTTGATTTCCCCAAAAGGTTCAATTAAAAAAAAAATCAAAATCAAATAAAAAATGAAATACTCCATTATAATCACTGAAAGAATCGTAATAGTATATTCATAATTGTTTTTGTGATCAACTTTTAAAAAAATCAGTTTTAAACAGTGTAAATACCTCATCAGAATAGGAAACAGATCTGCTCGGTGGGCTGTTTTCACTACTGTATTATCTTCAGAAATGCTAAAATGCACTATCTCTTCCTTAAAGCTTCTGTCTTCAAGCAATCTTTGTAAGTTTTCCCTTTAAAAATGGAATATAGCACAAATCATCACTTAAAAATCAATGGTACTTGAAAAAAATGCAATATAGTACAGTAATTTGTAAACTGAACTAGGAACTAAGAATATCTACGTTGTGGTTGACATCCATAAAGGAAAATTTTCACAAAATGACAGGTTTTCAAATTTTAAAAGGTAAAAGTGATTATGAGGAATTAAGACTTAGTCAATAATTCAGCTGTTTAAAAGAGATTAATATAAAAGCTTTCTTCAGTTCTTACAGAGAGTGATCAGTATGATTCCCTAAGTAATCACCAAGATTTTGACATTACTAAAGCAACAAGAAATGATATAACCTTCTCAACATATACTTATCAATTAATTGTCTCTTTCCTACCTTATTATCTATGGAGAAACATTCTTAATACACAAATATACTTTCAATTTTCATTTCTTACCTGAAAATAGCATTATGATTATAGTAGAAAAGGGAAATTTCCAGGCCTTCATAAATTTATTTTAGAAGAGGCTCTCATGTAGAAAGTTAAAAACCAGCCAAAGAAAGCGCATTTCTTTAGCTTCAAATAACTTACCTGTAAGGGAGGATATGTGGATGTCTGTATGTCATTATACAATCCAGGGTTATTTTTTGCACCATTTGATCTTGATGTAGCAACAACTAAGAATAATATTTTATAAAATAAGTTAATGAAGTTACATATACACACACCATGGGATAGTAATTTACTTGTGTCAATTTGCTACATTAGACTTTTACAATCTAAATTTTTAGATGTGGGTTAAAGCTGATTGCTGACAACAGCTTTACATCTTCCTGGAGGTATAGCACGAATAGAATATGTGCAATGAACAAAGTGGAAACAAAACTCTGACCCCTGAATCCCACATGCCAGGCCCTCGGGTCTGTCAGTCTTTTGGTCTAGGCCAAATCCCTTCATAAATTTGGGTTTATACCAGCGGGACTGGTCCCATGATGAGGGAAAGCTCCCACAACGCTGTGAAAGTAATGGCAATCGTTAAGATTCCAGGAAAGAAGACCTGGCACAGAGCCTCTCAGATCAGTTAGTTAAGAATTTTGCTTCCTGCAGTTTTGAGCTCTTGCTTTATAAACAAACTGTATCTGAATTACAGGGTAGAATGAGGATAAATTCTGCTGAAATCATCGAAGTTCCACCTAAAAAACATCTAAATGAAAAAAGGAAATTTTGTTTTCCCAGATGGCTTAGAATGACATCCAGTGCTTACTCTGCTTCTGACATCAAATTTTTTCTGCAATCTTTTCTGTAACTAAAGATCATATATTGTGACTGAGATAGATTCTTATTCCAACTATCCAGCTTTCACTCAGTGTAATAGATCCTGAAATCCCAGCACTCTGTAAGGCTAACTTACCTAGAAGTAAAAAGTAGTTACCTTTTTTTTTGGCACAATCCCCACTGTTAATACAGCTCATCAATGTTTAGTCACTCAAAATGTCTTTAAAATTAACAATATTAGTACAGTCTAAATCTGTTTCTCAGGACACAGAAAATAATTATTAAATTTTTAAAACACTGTACTTAAAATGTAGACATGGGCCCTATTCATCAACAATTATTAAGAACCTAAAAGTTATTTTGGTGAACAACAGAGAAAACTCACAAAGAACTGCTGTGGCAAGAATTTATTTTACTTACCTGAAGATACAGCTCATATAATTTAGATTCCAGATATAAGGCTCGTGGATTTGAAAACTTAGAGAAAACTTGCAAATGAGCAATTAACTGCCTAAAAAAACCAAAAAACAAAAACCATACGGTATTACAGAATTAAAGAACAGAGATTTTCTTTTTTTCTTTTTAGAGAGAGCGAGCACATGCATGTGGGGGGTGGGGGGCACCGGGAGAGGGAGAGAGAGAGTCCCAAGCAGGCACAACGCCCAGTGTGGAGCCCAATGCAGGGCTCGAGCTCACAAGCCTGAGATCATGACCTGAGCTGAAATGAAGAGTTGGACGCTCAAGCACCTGAGCCACCCAGGCACCCCCAGAGGTCTTCTTTTCTTTTTTTTTTGAAGATTTTATTTATTTATTTGAGAGAGAGAGAGCATAAGCGGGGGAGGAGGGGCAGAGGGGGAGGGAGAAACAGACTCTACTGAGCAGGGAACCCAGTGCAGGGCTCGATCCCAGGACCCCGAGATCATGAGCTGAACTGAAGGCAGACACTTAACCGACTGAGCCACCCCGGCATTCCATCCCCAGAGATTCTCTTAGGATCATAGTACCCACCAACTTTAGTCTTTCTGACAAGTATGCCAAACACCTTGACTATAGTTTCACTGTTAATTACACAAACAAGTTTTAGTTATTTGCATTTCAGAAATTATTCTCCAGAAATTCTGTATCTCAGGCAGGCCTTCCCCTAAAGTCCAGGCTTCCCCACCCCAGAAAATCATTCAGGATGTGCACAGAATGGTTTAAATTAAACCAGACACAGAAAGAAAGTAATCAGAACAGCAATGTATTTGCAAAGCTGAACAGAGATAATTTTTGGAATGACTCCTTGTCTGGTTTCTATGCAGCAGACAGAAAGGTGGTAAAATACATTCTTCCTCATTTTCATACAACATAAACACTGATGTCGGGAAAGAGAGGTCCATATTTGGATAACCATAGCTCTTGCTTACCAAGAAGGAAGAAGAAAGAACAACACCCTGTGGTCAGAAGTTAAATATGGAGATGCAACTCCAAGCCAATGACATCATCCACTGCAAGAGGTCAAGAAGAGAGCTTCCACTACAATTACTCGCTTGACCTCTTAACCCACAGGCTCCAGAAAGCTTTAAAAATACTTGGCAAACAAACTGTTTTCTCTCTGTGTATAACTGATAAGATGTATTAGGGCTTTAAAAAAAAACCCTGAATGAATAAGTGGTTACAATTTGGAGATTTTATTTGCCTATTTCAAGAACAAGAGCAGGGAGAAGTGAAGAGAGACAGAAACCAAGCAGCGTGTGTGGTACTGACTTTGGGGAAAGTGACTGAACGCTTCAGAGTCTCATCTTCCTCATCTTGACAAAGACAAGATCTGGACTTTGTGCAAGGACTGAACGAAAAAACAAGAGTTATGGGGACTCTGTTCCTAAGAGCTTAGTAAACAATGTGCCTCTCTGCTCCTGGGCAAAAAAATGGAAAACTGTAAAAGTCCTACTGGTTAATAGAGAGAAAATAATCTGGAAGTTATGACCTTATATCTGATAGAGAAATAAGTAAGGTAGCACTTCTGCTTATATTTGGCTTAAATGCCTGTGATGGTTAGTCCTATGTGTCAACCTGTCTAAATTACAGTATTTAATTATAACATTAAATTACATGTAATGAAATACTAATCTACGTGTTGCAATTAAAGTATTTTGTAGATATTCACATTTATAATCAGTTGACTTTAAATTAAGGGGATTACCCTCAATAATGTGGATCGGCCTCATCCATGAGGTCTGAAGAGAAAAAACTGATGTTTCCCAGAGAATAAAGAATTCTGCCACAGGACCATGACATAGAAATCCTAGTCTGTGAATTCTGGACTCAAGACTGCAGCATCAAATCCTGCCTAACTTTCTGGCCTGCTGTCTTGCCCTACAAATTCTGGACCTGCTGGCTCCCATAATCACGTGAGCCAGTTCCTCAAAATAAATCTGTTTACACACACACACACACACACACACACACACACACACACACACACTCCTTCACCCTCTTCGTCTGCTTCTCTGGAGAGCTCTGACTGATACGATGTCCCTACATACTGATCACTGAGTCCTTGCAGTTTGACAAATAAACTTTTAAGACTTTCTTTTGAAACATCCATTCCTTCCCCCCAATATTTATTATATTTTTATGAGTCAGGTAGCCTTAAAGAGCCAGAGAGAGGGGCACCTGGGTGGCTCAGTCAGTTAAGCATCTGACCCGTGATCTCAGCTTAGATCTTGATCTCAGGGTTGTGAGTTCAAGCCCCAAGCTGGGCTCCATGCCCAGCGTGGAGCCTATTAAAAAAAAAAAAAAAAAAAAAAAGAGCCAAAGAAAACAGGAGCCAATTTACATGTTTTCAATAAACACTTGCCAGCAAGAAGCATGTTCCATGACAGATTATAAATCTGGGATTAGGAATGTATTGAGGTGGCACCAGGAATGTGATTACCCATTTACTCACATTTTCAATGGTGTATGTTAGCAATATTCTAAGTTTGGCTACAGACGTGGACCTTATCCTTAAAGACATTCTGATTAACATGGCAGATCTATAAAAAATTAATATCCAAGGCAAGGAGAGGCACCATGGATGCCAAGGAGAGGCATGGATGGCTCTTCTGAAAGTCTGAAGCCGAGTTAAGAGAACTTTCAGTTTAGAAGACAGGGAAAGCTTCAGTGAAGAAGTAGTACAGGAACTGTTTCTGGAAGTATGAGTAGAATTTCAGTTGGCGGAAATGGGGCAAGGGCACAGCAGAAAGAGGGAAGGACACAGAAAAGGTCCAGGGGTGAGAAAGATGAGGCACAACTGAATAAATAGCTTATTCATTTATTCACCAAAGACAAGGACTAATCTTTTGCTAGCTATTTGCTGAGGACATGAAGACGAAAACCACGATTTTTGTCTGAGAGGGAGTAGCAGGGGACAGAACGCTCAGGGACCTGTCAGGTAGAAACAGAGAAGGAACTACAGCTTCAGGACACGCAGCCATGCTCTTTCTTGCCCCTCTGCCTTACACACTATCTCCATCAGCTGCAGAGTCCTTCCCTGCCCCAGCTGCCTGGCCGACTTTCATCTTTCAGCTTCAGTGGGGCCCTCTGTAACAGTCTTCTCTTTGTGGTAGAATTAAGTCATTTTTTAGTATGTTCCTGTAATACCTTGTGTTTTTTGTTGTTGTTTTTTTATTCGTCTTATCCTTGAACTCCTTTAAAAATACTTCTATAAAAAAAATTCGACCAGGCATCAGACTGTGCTTTCTGCGTAGTAGAGGCTAAGTACCCTTCATCTTTGCAGCCCAACACTTAGAAGGCACTCAATACAGTTGCTGAATGAACCAATAAAGATCTAAAGTTTTAAAATAACATGGAAGCACCAATATACTGGATCCTTGCTGCCCCAATTCAGACAGTCTTCAAGTAAGCTGCAGGAACTTCTGAAAGCCTGATCACTTCTACTTTTTCTAAGATTTCTTAACAAGTTAGGTAAATGAACAACCCACAGGACAGGAAAGAGAATGTAAAAGCATGGGGAAAAAAGGCAACCAGGCAAGAAGTCAAAAGGCAAAGTAAAAGTGCTGACGCAGTTTATTTATGAGAGAAGAGATGTTCCATTACGTGGTCCCCTAGCAAAGAAACATAACACCCGGTGCCATCAAAGTGAAGGGCAAAGGTCAAAGAGTATTCAACCACTCCAGGCCCAATGCTCTATCTGTAAAAGACTTATGATTAGATGACCCCCAAAGTCCCTCCAACTCTAACAGTCTGAGGCTAACTAAGAAAAAATTAGTAATAACAAGCAAGCAACCAAAAAACTCTGAAGACAGGAAGTTAAGAAAATCCCCAGGGAATATACAGCACTTATGTGAGTAATCATCTGGGTGGTTCATCTTGTCCAAGGCTCTGTCACACTCAGGCCATCAGAGGTCTCATCCCATTTCTCCTAGAACCCTGGATCCATGATCTTTCAGCAATGCTGAACTTACTTTGCAGCAGCTCTTCTTGTCTTTTTCTTCTGTGACGGTTCGTCCATGGGCATCGCTTCTTCCTCCAGCTCTTCGGCATCTCCAGCAGCAGGTTCCTCTTCTACTTCCTCTGCTGCCTCCCCTTTGGCTTTCCTTCGCAGATCCTGGGTTGGAGCGACTTGCAGGTCTGCCGGGTAATACTCATTGCTACAGTGGAAAGAGACGAAGCCGAAATGTCCTCATTCTGTTTATGACAGACGGATGCACGGCCATGGTTCAGAGTCATGCACTGAGCAGTCTTCAGCAGCACCTCAGCCAAGCCTCCTCACATTATTTTTTTTTTATTCAGCCCCGCTTAAGTACCCTATTTGACAAACTACCACTAACTGCAATTACACTTTTAAAATCCCACTGTTGAAAATATTTGAAAAGTCCCTTTTGGACAGAGTTGGAATCAGTCTCCCTGTTTCTGGAACCATAACTGGGGGAGATAGTGTAGGGGTGGATTATATTAAATAATTAATTAAAGCATAGCAGTAAGAGCATGCTGGTCACTTTCCACCAGACACATTCTACTCTGCCAATGTCCTTTTGCAAATACAGTGCTGCAGTGAAATTCAGTCCTCTGGATGTGGTCTGGTAAGACAGATGGAACGGTCAACTCTGTTGCATTAGGGGGCAGTCACAACATGACACTGACTCAAACTGAATGTCCAGGCAATGAAAATCAGTAAGTCTTTCCCTTTTGTCTCTTTAAACTAAGCTTGTGCAATTGGTATTCACATTTATTTTTATTAAATTCCACCCCTTTAATTGTGGCCCATTGTTTTAAGTAACTAGTATCATCTTGAAGGCTGTCATATAGTGCACTGGTTTTGTGTCACTTTAATTTACTCATGCAACAGTTATTCATTTGTTGTCTGTTTTGTACATGGCACTGGGCTATGGATGTAAGGAAATTGATCAGACAGACTTTAAAGTCTGCAATTAAAAATATACTGATAAAATAACATGTGTGAGGACAGCACCCTATCAACACACAGAAGAAACTCCAGGTTAATACATGTTAAACTCCAGGTTAATACACATTAGACGACACCTGGAGAGCTGAGATTCTACACCATATTCAACTTCGTATTCTCACCCAGCAGGATCTAGGACTAAACACATTAAAAATGGATGAGTGAATTAAAATAAGCCAAGTTGCTGTGTCAGTTACACACCATACCGTCATCTACTTAATGACATCCTAGTATATTCTCAACATTCAATTAACCATATAGGACATGTTTGTTTAAACCTTTTCTCCATATGCACAGCATGTTCACCCATGTTAAGTGAGCTAACTCACACAGAGCGCTTATAAGAGTGTTCCTAGTACGCGGCAAGGATTCATTAGATGTCACCTATTATCAGGATACTGTGTCATCATTAGTGATTACTGCTTCTGGTTTGGTTCTCTCAAAGAATGGTTATAAGGGATTCACAAATTAATTCTAATACTGAATGGTTTGAAACATATTTTGAAATACAAATTTCTAGTCAAAAACTAAAAAATAAGATAAAATAAAAAGCCCATAATATATTTCAAAGTTGAAATTAAAGGTGACATTTGAGTTTTCCATTAGTTTGGATCATCTATATAAAAATACTTGCTACCGGTAATCATTGCCAACTAATTTTAAATATTTAAAAAAATTGTGTGTCTTTAGTCTCTAAGCCTTTTTAAATTCAGAAACCACTTCTTTTTACCAGCTCCTCTTTCCATCTTTAGTAATCCATTTGTAATCTACTTCTTTCTTTAGGGAAAAATTTGGAAACTTAACATGGTAAGAAACTTATTTCCTATTAACACCATTAGTCCTAGCTTGCATACGTATAGCTTTTTGCACTCCACAAAACAAGTGATAAACATTATACGATCTTCAAAACAAGGCAAGGAAGCTAAATATCACTGTTTTCATTCTATAAGTAAATTAAAGCCTGAAGAATCAGGCGAAAAAATCATTACTCTTCCACCATGGTATCTAGTGACCTGCCTGAATTTTCGCTTATAACCTTTGCCAGAATGAATTATTCACGTAAACTTTTCTACTTATGCATTGGATCCTATCTTCTCTTAACTGTTCAAAATGACTCCAGCAATTTTATTCCCACTCTTGCATTACAAATTTTCCCTCCCTTCATTCATACCAGCGTTATACAAATATATGCTGTTTAAATCTTTCATAGCTATCTAGCAACAGCAGCTCTCTCTGCTCCCACATCTCCCTCTACCTGTCTGCTTCTTTTTTACAAGAACTGCCCATACTCGTTTTCATTTTTCTTCTTCATTTCTTTTTAAGCTCATTTTAATCAGGCTTTCATCCCTATTAGGTTAACCAAAACAACTCTTGTTAAGGTCACTTCTAAAGCCAATGGTCAAGCCTTATGCTTCATCTGACTGATGCCTCAGATATGTTTGATCCAACTGATTACTTCCTCTTTGAAATACTTTCTTCACTTGGCTCCTGGGATACTACAAGGTCTTGGTTCTTCCTCTGTCACTCTTTCCTGGCTTCCTTTGCTGGTTCCTTATCTCCAAGCTCTAAATAGCAGTATCAGTCCTTGGAAGTCTTCTCTCTCTACATTTGCACTTTAGGTGTGGCCTCATTCCTGGTCGCTTAATTTAAAAAATCATCTGTATATCTGTATACTGATGATCCTCAAATTTATAACCTCTAGGCCAAACCTTTCCCTTGAACTTTAAACTCCAAATTCAACTGCCTACTTAACACTCCTACTTAGATGTCTATTCGGTATCCCAAACTGAACACGTCTAAAAATGAGCTCCGGATCTTCCCCACAAATCTGCAAACCTCTTCAATCCTCTCAACCTCAGTAAATGGTGACTCTCTTCTTCCAGTCACTCAGATCAAAACTTTAGAGACATCCCCAATTCCCCCCTTTCACCCTCTTGGATGGCCCCTCTGCCCCCCAAACACCCATACATCTGGTCTGTTGGCTGACCAAACCCCACAGGCTGATCTGGTTGCAATCCTTCAAAAATATTTTTTACTGAATTGAAATCCAAGAATATCCAGAATCCAACCACCTTTCATCAGTTGTACTCTGTGTACTCTGTACAACTAGTACAAGATAATACTAGTACCTTGGTCAAGTCACCATCATTTCTTGCCTGGACTTTCATAATCTCTGAAACTGGTCTCTCTGTTCTGGCCAACCTACAGTCTATTCTCAACATGACAGTTAGAAAAATCCTCAAGAAATTTAAGTCATGCCATCCCTCTGTTTAAACCTTCTAATGGCTTTCCATTTCACTAAGAGAAAAAAAAATCAAAGTCCTTTACTATCACTTAAAGGCCCTATACAATTTGGTTCCCTGTTAAGTTTTTGCCCTCATTGCCAACTACTTTCTCCTAGGGTCACTGCTCTGGCCACTGAAACTTCCTGGCTGTTCCTTGAACAAACCAAGCATGTTGTGGTTTGTAGCCTGTTTCACCTATACCTATGGCATTTTCCCATATAATGAAGTATTACTGGAAAACATACTTTTTATTGAATGATTAGTACTGTTCTGTACATCATATCCCTTATATCTTTAGAGTTTTAAAGTAATCCAACTCTCACACAGCCTACTTAGTCACAACAAAACGATGCTTCAGAAAGTTCTTGTTATTCTTTGAGAGTATATTCCCTCAGCATCCTGGGAAACATCAGAGGCTCACAACAGAGTGGCTGGGCTTGGGTTACTGGAAAATAATGCCCCAGGCAGGAAATAAAACAATAAACAACAGGGCAAGAAACAACAAGGGCTTTGTACATTGATTGAATTCAATATGGCCTTTCTTATTTTGTAACCTGGAATTTTTATTTTTAGATTTTTTTTAATTTAACCTGGAATTTTTATTAACATCATTTATAGGCTGGTGAGATTTTCACTTGTGTAAAATTAAGTGGTGACAAAAACTAGCTGTTCTCTGAGAGAGCCAGTGCTATACAGACATGCCCATTATTTAAAAATGTGACACATATAAAAACACTCAGGCTACTTGGGAGCTTAAGACTTTGCATCTTCTCTTTACACCCCACCAGGGATGTTCCTAGAAAAGAATACTTACTTGATAAATCTCAGGAAAAGTGGGGAGAGCTCCCTGGACCGTGGTTCTACCCTCTCTGGGAATTTTGCCAGAGCTCGCCAGAGCAAAAAACGAAAGTTGGTGTGGTCCAGTCTTTCCTGACAGTCAGTTTTCAATGTTAACTGCTCATGATAAAGAGCTCCAACATTTCCTTCCTGAGTCTGCTCCCAACTTTCATCTCCAATGGACTCCTCGTCTCTGACATCATTTTGCAGCTCTTTCTCTGCAACGTGAAAAGTCGTCAGAACCACTCGAGAAATGTTGGCATTTGTCCTATGTGTTTCCTCAAGTGAGAGCGTTTCTTTCTCAATATATGAGGAAACAATGAATTATATCCAAAGGTTATCAAGATAATTCATTTTTCTTTTTTTTTTTTTTTAAAGATTTTATCTATCTATCTGAGAGAGAGAGAATGGGGGGGGAGGGTCAGAAGGAGAAGCAGACTCCCCGCTGAGCAGGGAGCCCAATGCAGGACTTGATCGCGGGACTCCAGGATCATGACCTGAGCCGAAGGCAGTCGATCAACCAACTGAGCCACTCAGGTGCCCAAGATAATTCATTTTTCATTTGTTTCCCCATTCATGTGCAATAAAGCAGTAAAAAATTAAATAAACAACATCTTTTCTTCCCAGTCTCCCCTTCACTTCCCTTACATACCAGCGTGTACAGCTGCTTTTTCCAGATGTTCATAGTAAACTTTCCAAAATTGCTTATTTTCCATTTCGTGTGCATGAGAACTAAGAGAAAACAAAATATGTGGTATAATCCTTTTAAAAGATCTCTCATAGGAAAAAATAAGTGAAAGGATATAACTAAAATTTAATTAGGTTATCCCTGAATATAGGGCTTAAACAACATTTGTACTTCTTTATATTTTTCAAAATGCCTTCACCGAGCTGGAATTATTACTATTATTAATTGAGTATAGTTGACACACAATATGAGTTTCAGGTGTACAACTTACTGATCTGACAAATTTATTACATTATGCTATGTCACCACAAACTGTAGCTACCATCTGCCCTATTACATTGCTAGTACAATACCACTGACTGTATTCCTTATGCTCCGCCTCCATTACTTATTCATTCCATAACTAGAAGACTGTATCTCCCATTCCTGTTCACCCATTTTGCCCAACCCTCCCATCCCCTCCCCTCTGGGAACCATCAGTTTGTTCTTTGTATTTGTAGGTCTGATTCTGCTTTTTGTTTATTCCCTTTTTTTTAAGATTCCATTTACAAGTGGAATAATATGATATTTATCTTTTCAGTCTTATTTCACTTAGCATAACACACTCTATCTCAAATGGCATGATCTCACCCTTTTCTATGGCTGTGTAATAATCCATAGTATACATACACCACATCTTTCTTACCCATTCGTTTACTGATGGACACTTAGGTTGCTTCCATATCTTGGCTATTGTAAATAATGCTGCAGTAAACATACATCTTTTTGAACTAGTGTTTTTGTTTTTTTTGGTAAATTCCCAGCAGTGGAATTACTGAATCATATGGTATTTCTGTTTTTAACTTTTGAAGAGGAATTATTTTTATAATCACAAAATACTAAAGGATATTTTTAAAAACCTAAGCGGATGCCTAAAGGAAGACTATTTTTAAAGGCACAATAATGGGAACACGCATCAGGTATGAGGCAATATGGCACAGTAAAGAAAGGAGAGGACTTAAGAGAAAACTGTTGAAAGCTAACGTTAAGTACTGGTTTTTCCTCCACCAAATTAAAATACACTTTTGTTAACAAAAAGGCAAAATAAAAACTACATGAAACATACCTTTCAGAATTTGAAGAGATGAATCATGTGTTTATATAATCTGGTATCTTAGCAACAATAGTCTCAAAATGTTTATATTCTTTCTGTCATTAATTTTCCAAGAGTATGATTTTTTTTTTCTGTTCCTAGTATTTTATTGATCACCCCTAGGCCTGTGTGTGACCACATGGACTCCAATGAGGGGGTCAACATTCACCAGCACCCAGATGGGAGCATGAGAAGGCCTTGGCCTAGTTCTTGGGGGTCACAGACTACGGAGTTTGAAGGTGCAGGTCTGGCCTTTCCCAAGCAGCACAGGGCACCTGGCCAGGGGTGCAGGTGAGGACCAAGAGCCTTTTTTTTTTTTTTTTTTTTTTTACATTTGGAGATTGGATATCATCTATCATCTTTAATTAATAATGCCACAGTCCAACACCCTTTTTATTGCTATAGCTGGTTGTGATTAAGTGTGTGTGTGTGTGTGTGTGTGTGTGTGTGTGTGGAATATGTGTTTGTGTTCCCAAACAGATGACGGGCCAGTAGAGACTCTTAAGCAGATCTCAGCCAACAGCTCTACTGAGCAGCAACCTGAAGACAGTCTCCATAGTGACACAGGCTAGACTCCTGCCTCCCTTTTTCCTGGCTACTTTTCATGCATTCTGAGGCCCATGTCAGCCCAGATTAAAGGGCTTCTTAGCAAAGATCAGTCTCCAGTTCCTAGGCATCACTGCCTCTGACCACAGGGATGTCCGTGGGCAAAATACAGATTGTTAGGCAAAGGTGGATAACCATTACATAAGACATGAACTATATATGTCGTTGACTATACATGACAAATAAACCAGTTTTCAGACAGATAAATGTACCCAACAGGAGACAGCCTACCAGCCATGGAGAACCATTAAAGGCATTCAGCAACTGAGAAACCAACATTTTTAATAGTGGACTATTGGTAACACATATATCAGATTCTTCCTTAAGCGCAATACCAAAATTATGAAGTTGATGTTAAGAAGGCCTTGATTTTCAGCATAATGGTTGGATGGTTCTGAAGGGCAGTAAAAGGCAGACAAATTGATTCCAAATTGGAAAGAAATTTGTTTATTCTACTTCTGTCAGATAAAAACCAATGGTTAGGGTTCTGAGAAGTCACACATGATATATTTCTAATCTGACAAAAAGCCACGTAGACCATCTGAAGACAAATGTCTGCAAACATATGAGGCACAGTATATGTATTTTCTGTATGATTATTAAGGTCCTTTTTAGAGCTAAGGGAATTTTGCCTTAGACAACTAGGGTTTTAAAAAACTAAAGTGTGGCTCACTGACTCAACATATATAAAATATTAATAAAATACATAAAGTATAAAATATTAATTTATATAAAAATATGAATATATTTATAATATATATTTTCTTTTCTATACACAAACATATAAAATATATTAGATATATAAAAACCTATAATATATAATACAAATACAAATATATATTAATAAATATATAAATATAAATAAAAATTTAAACTAAAGTGTGGCTCACTGACTCAATATATATAAAATAAAATTTTGCAATTATTATATAACATCTTGTTACTGTAAAAAAAATAGAAAAATCAAGAATACAGATTAATCATATAAAGTAAAAAGAGAAAGTCCTCCAAAGTCATTTCACTGCACAAAGAAACATACACAGAACATTCGAACTGTTGAAAAACTTGGCATTAGAGAGAATAATTGATGTTTCCTTTTTCTTTACTTTGTCCCACAAAGGACTGGAGCTATAGATACTATCCACACCCATTCATTTAAGTCACGCCTAGAAGGAGTAGAATAATGGCCTGATCACTCTGCAGCAGTAGTTAAAAACATAACGCTTCATCCGTTGAACCCATGCTTACCTTATGAGTTCAATGACAGGATCCCAGAGGGCACTGAAGTTAACATATAACATGCCTAATAAATAACGAAGCGGCACCTGCGATGATAGGAGGCGAGTTTAGTAAATGGGTAATAAAGCTACAATACAACACCCAAAAATACAAATATCCCAACTCAGACAACCGGAGGTTGGAAAGAAGTGTGTGCTTCAAAGAACAAGTTGTAGGTACCAATTCAAAATTCAGTGTATAATAATTTTCCAACTCTCCCCAAAACATCACTCGCTATTTAACAGAGAAGAATCATTAAAGCAAATGTACTCAAACTCACTCTAGATGTTCACAAAGGGTACAGCGTTTGAATCAACAGACCTGACTCATGATTAAAATTCCCACCTACCAAAGACTGCTCTTACTGTTACCATGTAGGACAAAACCTCGGGAGTAAGCAGTAAAGCACAGATACTAAGGAACCCAAGACAGTACACTGTGAATGGCAGCTGGGGCTTTGCAAGGAGATGGGGCCGAGTTTTCAAAACTAGGCATCAGAGGTATTCAGTTCAGAGGGTCTGAAGTTTTCTCAGTCACCTTGAGAACAACCGTCATTATTACTCACATCCCCATGTGCTAGGGAGGCATCATATAGAATGGTAGTTCTAATAATATTTGGAGGTGAGGTGTTTGTTACTATTTTTGCAGCAGAGCCCTTTTCCAAAACGAAACAATACAGGACAATAATATATAAAACAGGTTAAGAGTGGAACCACTCTGATCTACAGGGAATGCCTCCACTTGGCCTTCCTGCCAAAGGGATCTGTGATCCATCTTCAAGGGTCATGGATGAAAAATCCCCAATACCAAAGGTAGAGGCCTGACATCCTGAGGTAATGAACAAAACTGAGGAAGAATATCAAGTTTTAAACTTGACGTTGAGTACTCCTGTTGCCACTTCCTACCTACCTTCACGTTTCATGCACCTATTCAGGAGAACAGAGGAGAGTATAAATTATTTCCACTTTGAAAAAGCTGGCAGAGCCATTTAATTCAAAGCCATCTAAGAAAGCTGGAGATTTATCTAGTTTAAAAAAAAAATTTTTTTTAACTACTTGATATGTTTTTCTTTTCAAAAGCCAGCAAAACAGATCATAAAGCATAAATTAAGTTTAAAAAACATGGACACTTTTATACCTCCTGTAACGGCCCATCAGGGACTGCAGCCTGTACCACATCATGTCTTAGTTTTCTCAAATGAAGAAGCTTCTCTCTGTAATCGCTCACAGTTGCTGGGACAAGTTCTGCCTGGCGTAATATAGCAAAGGCAGACTGACGCTCTGAGAGCCCATCATCCTGAGTGAATGGAGAAAAAAAAGGAGGCAGGTCAGTACTTTAATTTCCCAAAAAGACCATGAAATGTGGCCAAAGATCTAAAAAAGAAAAACTGGGCTATGTTAATGTTTTAAATTAAATAAGCAACACTTTTTTGGGTAAATGATTCATTTTTCTTCATAGTACTTACTTTTTGGTAGATAATTTAAGATTAATGTTTAGCACAGAAATGACTAGTAAAAAAGAGGAAACTAATTCTCAAAATGACTAAAATCAACTGGCCACATTTGTTGAAATAAAAATGTGTATATATACCACTCCACAATTCTACTTTTAGAAGTAGTACTTTGCATTATGGGACTATTTCCCTATTCAAAGATATCAGCATAAGGATGTTCACTACCCTTTTACTGGAAAAGCTGAAAAATTACAAACAACCCACCTAAGCATCCATCAACAGAGAATTGGTTATGTAAGATACTTTAAACTGTGGTATACTGTTTAAACTTCAGAAGAAATGAGGTAAGTCTCGAGGTGCTGATATGGCAAAACCTCCATGATGCCATTGTTTAAATTATACATTTGGATACAAAAAATCTGAAAGAATATTCACCAATTACCTGTGAATTTTCAGTGTGGGCAGGAGTAAGAATTACAACAAAAATTTCAGTTTTTAAGATAGATATTTATACAACAGTGTTTGAATTTTCTGCAAAAGTGTCATTTTGGAAATTAAAAAATGAATTATGTTTTTAAAAAGTTATCCAAATTAACAGTTAAAATACCTCCATCAATTCTGGAAGTCGAAGCTCAAAATGGTTTAGGATCCTTATTGTCAAAAGCCGAATCTAGAGAAAGTGAAAGGCATGTTTCAAATTCCAAAGTTTACACATAAGAAACTGATTTACAGCCAGTGAGATCTAAGTGTTAGAGAATTAAGGAAAATATACCACTATCAAAGAGATACATGTTATTCTATCCCTTATTTCATATTAGACACCAACCAACACCTTATTCAAATAGTATATGGAACAATTTAATGACCAGACAAGACTAGAAGATAAAGTTGCCCATAGAACCATGTTTTTCTTTCAACTATGACACTATAAGCATCTCTGTAAATAAATGCAAAGAATCTGATTAAGTATACAATTCTGTTGCAATTAGTGATTTTTATTCGTATGTGATGTATTTAGATATTTCTGTACACCTGACCAAACAGCAGAATCACCTAGGGGGCTTTAAAAAACTATGCAGATTTTTCAGTTTCAGCCCTACTGAGTCAGAATTCTGGCCTGTGAGAACCCAGAATTTGTATTTCTATTAAGCTTCCCAATTAATCCTGCTGCAATCAGTTTGTAGGTCAGTGTTTAGGAATCACTACTTTAAACAGAAATCATCCCACGGAAGCATTTTCTGATGAAGGAGCTCTTACAACCACTGGCAGTACATACAGAATCAAAAGATGAGAGACTGAGGACACATCACAAACACCATTACCTTGGATATACCAGTTGAAATGTTTGCTTGTAACTTGGGAAATAATTCCATTAAAGCTTCCTCAGAAAGTGGCCCTTTGCAGCCACATAAGGATAATCTCTGATAATAGAGATCGGCTAACAGCAACACAGATGGCTCCAAAGGAAATGTTCTGCAACAAGATTATTTATTAGACCCAACCTGCACCATACAGTCGAGTATGTAGACTATAATAGAAACTACAGAAAATTACAACTGGTGAAGAAACTGTAAAAGGACCAGGTAAAAGTTTTATGCGGACATTTAGCGTCATTTTAGAGGTAAAGAATCTGAGGCCTTGCAACAGTGAGTAATTTGCTCGAGGACGACAGACAGCTAGGTGCAAGCATTCACCTATATCCTATCTCTGTGGGAGTTGCAGAGGGATGTTTTCTCAGGGAAAGAGCACAGAAGCTGTGGCACCTGCCTTAAGCTAGTATGTCTCCACTTATTTATTCATTCTTATCAGGACATATCTCAAGGAGGATTTGAGATGTCTGAGATGGCCTCACACAGGCCAACAAAGCAGCTTCATTCCCACGGCGTAGAACCCCCAGTTTTGGTTCCATGCAAGAAATATGCCTGTTGGAGGTGGGCTTGGTGCTGCAATCAAGAAAAAAGTTCCACAACAGGTCCTTGCCAGGCACCCCCTACAGCAGTGACACTCAAGGATCCCCAGGTCAAGAACGCAGAGAGCCCCAGATCCCACATCCCTCATGATTTACTCCCTTGCTGCTTCTGTGCTTCTGCTCAAATGTCTCTCTCATTCTTGGTAAGGCTTTCCCTATTTGAAACTGTTGTCCCCAACCTCCAGACTCTCCCTATCCCGACTCTGCTTTAATGTTTTTACCGCTGTCTAACATGCTACACATTTTACTTATTTTGCTCCGCGTTTCTTCTTGCTAGAATGGTAGCTCCATGAAGGCAGGGTTTTTTGTGTGTTTCATTCACTGACTGTGTTTCCCAGTGCCTAAAAAAGGGCCTGGTATGTGAGAAAAGGAAATGAATATTTACTGAACGAAGGAAATGAATAAATCTGTTTTAACAAGAAATGGGACTAAAATGGATTAGACTCTAGGGGCGCCTGGGTGGCTCAGGTGGTTAAGGGTCTGCCTTTGGCTCAGGTCATGATCTCCGGTTCCTGCTCAGCTGGGAGTCTGCTTCTCCCTCTCCTTCTGCCTCTCCCCATGCTCTTTCTGTATCTCTCTATCTCAAATGAATAAATAAAATCTTTAAAATAAAATAAAATAAAATGGATTAGACTCCAGAAAAAGTCGTCAACTACTAAAGGTGTGTAGTCGTCAACTACTAAAGGTGTGACCTTTAGAAAGGGGCTGAGCTGAGTAGAAAATGGCTTTCTGGTAACAGCCCAGTGCTATATCAAAGTCGGGAGCTTGTTGACATCAACTTACAAAAACAAAAGCAAAAAACTGGGTTGTGTTGGTATGTAGTAAAAGGACCACAGGAAAATGTTCTGAAACGGTGATCGTGTCAAGCTGAGACAGAATGAGTGTAGTAGAAATATGTATGTTGGAACGACTCAGGAAGTTCTAGAAGGTCAATAGAGTGCAATGTTAGGGTTGGAAACAACCTACAACACTAGTTTACACACATGGTAAAATACCTCTCCACAAAGATGAAGAATCTGCATTTAAAGACTGTGTAAAAAATGTACTTATGTTAAGGATTCAAATCAATAATACATTTCTAATACGAATACAACTTAGGTATAAAGTAGATCAAAACAAGAACTTTCATTATGCCCAAGATTTCACAAAAACAAGCTTTTATATTTTATTTGTGATTAAGATAAATGGGAGGTATATTTACTTACAATACTAAATTCTTCACACGTTCCACAGGAACCAAATGAAGAAGTTCAGAAGATTCTTCCAAACTTAGCAGAGTATTTACAGCTTGACAAAGAACAAATAAGTTTCCTAAGGGCAGAAAAACAGGAGAAACTACATAACTTATTCCTTTGACACAATAACTACCAGACATCTCATTTATCTAATACTTGCTATTTACAGAAGTTCTTAAAGTGAATTTGTGCCTCCTTATCATCTATCAAATGTCAGAATATAACAGGAAGGAACTGAAAAGAGAAGGTTCCCAAGTCTTGTATTTCAGCTTTCTTAAGAGAAAAATATATTCAAAAATAGAGAATAAAATGTATGTTTCATTAGTTAAGATGAGAAGGAAATCTGGTGGTCTCACTCACTGGCATTATCCAAATTAGGATTTTTAAGGAGATGCACTTATACTTTTCAAAAGCTAATCAATTATTTTTTTAAATGAGATATTCATTTAATCTTAGACCAGAGGCTGGCAAACTTTGGTTCACAAGTCAGATTTGTAGGTAGCCTGTTTTTTATACGGCCTGCAAGCTAAGAATGCTTTCTATATTTTAAAAGGGTTGTTTGAAACAACAATAAAGAATATGCTACAAAGACTGAATATGAAAACCTAAAATATTTATTATCTGGTCCTTTACATAAAAATTTTGCCAACCCCTGCTCTCGATATTAGAAAAGTACTGTCCAATACAATTTTTCTGCAATGATAGAAATGTTCTGTACTTGTGCCAATATGCAGCTGCAGTCCAACATGGTAGCCACCAGCCACATATGGCTATTGAGCACTTGAACTATGATGAGTCTATTTTATTCTCTAATGTGTCTGCTTAGTATCTAACAGAGAACCTAGCGCAGTAATATCTAAATGAATGAACTACTACTATACATAATGTTAGAAAAGAAATACTGTACTAAAATGAAACAAAATACCTACTTTCAAATTGCTGTTCTCAGGCTAGTGGAAGGAGGTGTTCAAGTATACAACATGAAAGGGTGTTTTGAGCAGGGCAGGCTAGTATCTTGCTCAGGGTAGAGCAAATGAAAGTGGCTGGATATAAGGTGTATATAGAGTGTGCGTGGGAGAACAGAGAACAAGACACAAGCTGGGGCTTGAAAACAAGGGGTCTCAGATGCCATGGCACCCCCTGACACTTGGTCCTCAGATTCAGCTTGCGCTCAAGCTGCCCTCACCTGGTCACCACGTTATGAGGCACAAGTGCAACATCTCCAGCGTACCCTCTTTTTTCTGTATTTACCATAGAGGGGGTTGTGTCAGAGCACAATGTTAGCACTATTCTCTAGGATTCCACGTGTTTACAGTCACTTTGGCTGTGTCAGAAAAGACAGAGAAGAAAACAAATGGGGATTGTAACTGACCTTTTCCAAAGCTGCCTCTGTCAACATTCATGAAGAGTGACTCTATGAAGCATGTGATTAGCGGTATCACCTTATCTTTCTCAAGAGGTCTGTCCAAGAAGTCGGGAGACAAAGGGAAAGTTCAAACCAGCATTCAGTGGCTTTTTCAGGGAATAGCAAGGAAGGGCTAATAAACATTTAAATCAGCATACTAAGTATCTCTTTCACAATTAACCAGTTTATTTTCTCACCTAATATGAGGTAACACGACAAGGGCTGCCCAAGAATGTGAAAGGTAAGTAGCATCTTTATTTGGGGGTAACTGAATTATAGATAAGAGGTGGTCCAATACTGGGATCTGTTCTTTTCCTCCCTTGGATCTGGTCTTTTTCTGCCTTAAATAGGATCTGAAGGAAGAGAAGAAAAACAAATGTTTAAGAGGAGAGAACATAATCCCTCTTGCCCTCTGAAGTTTAAAATAAAACTGATTCCTTTCCACGCGTGGTAGATTTGTGGGGAGGACGGAACTGGTGGTGGTGGTTGAATATAAATAACAAAATAAATGCAAGTCGTTTACTGATTTTCGGTAAGAGGCTTTTTCAATGCCTTTGGTTCTTTTTTCTATTTTAATTTGCTTCATAACTTAAAGCAAGTCTCTTCTAGTTTTATGTATTATTTCTGAATTTTCTGATTCATTCAGATTCCTTCTTTTCTGTCCATTCTGCTGATGGACATGTTTTTAAAAACTGGAGAGGTAATATATTATAATGAATGGACTTCCTTCCTCTATTCCCCCTTTCCTTTTTGACAGAAATTTTACTACTTTACAAACACAGAATGATGTTGCACTAGTGGTGAATTTGACAAATGTCACTAAAGTGATTATGATTTAGAACTGTCTCTGCTTCTTTAATCTCATAAATGTTTACTTGATGACATTTTCTGACATGACATTTGGCTTTAGGTATCTGTTACTTTGGCACTTTTCTTGTTTGCCTCTTTTCCCTTTTGCCAATGAACTACACCTCAGTTCTATTTGAAAGACAGAAATCTAATTGAAAGAAAAGTCATAGAAACAGTAAGTAAAATGATTTGTTTTAATAATTTATCCCTCATGGCTAGTTTGGTTAACTTGTTACATAATAGAAGTAGAACATCAGGTTTTTAGTCCTGTGTCCCTATTATCATGAAAATTAACTAAAAAGTTCTATTCTTTTCTGTTTCATACTTACCAAGATATGACTGTTTGGAAATTTTAACAGATAGTTTAGTTAATTTCACTGACAATTTCTGAAAGTCACTGTACCTTGATATATAGTCTTCCTAGTAGTAAAGACTCAATAATCTGCAAAAATCTTACAAGAAAACATTGAGATGCTTTAAAAAAAAAAAAAAAAAAGGGGGCGCCTGGGTGGCTCAGTTGGTTAAGCCACTGCCTTCGGCTCAGGTCATGATCCTGGAGTCCCGGGATCGAGTCCCACATCGGGCTCCCTGCTCAGCAGGGAGTCTGCTTCTCCCTCGGACCCTCCCCCCTCTCATGCTCTCTCTATCTCATTCTCTCTCTCAAATAAATAAATAAAAAATCTTTAAAAAAAAAAAAAAAGCCTGCTTCATCACACTTGCCAATGAGCTCCTCCAATAAAATCCACACTCCTTATCTAACCTTACAAGGCTCCATGTGATCTGATCCTGGCCTGCCTCTCATTCCACCTTCTTCCTTGCTCCATGCTCTGTACGCACACAGGCTTTCTTCTGGTTCCTCAAACACACTGAGCTTATTCCTATCCCAGAGGCTTTACACTAAGTCTTCCCTCCACATGGAAAGCCTTTCAACTAGATCTTTGCAAGGCTGGATCCTTCCCATCATTACAATCAGCCCAAAGGTCCCTTCCCCCGAGAGGAGTCACACTGCCTCTCCATGCATTCTCCCTCTCAACACCCTAGTTTTATTTTTCTTTTTATCATTAAAATTATCTTGTTTATTTGTTATCTGTCTCACATCCCTCCACTCCAAGAATGTCATCTCCCCAAAAAGAAGGAACCTTGTTCTTATTCATTATTATATACCAATGCCTAGAACAGTGCCTGATACAATTAGCATTTGTCAACTGATAGAATAAATATATCTTCTAAAGAATCTTTTCACATCTATTATCTCTTTCTAGTCTCACAATAACAACAAATCTGTGAGACAGGTGGATGGAGTATTACTAAGAATATTCAGACAAAGGTGACCATTCACATATATCCTATCTCTGTGGGAGTTGCAGAGGGATGTTTTCTCAGAGAAAGAGCATAGAAGGTGTGGCACCTGCCTTAAGCTAATATGCCTCAATTTATTTATTTATTCTTATTAGGACATATCTCAAGGAGGATTTGAGATGCCTGAGATGGCCTCACACAAGCCAACAAAGCAGTTTCATTCCCACTGCTTAGAACCCACAGTTTTGGTTACGTGCAAGGAATATACCTGTTGGGAGTTGGTTTGGTGTTGCAATCAAGAGGAAAGTTCCAAGGGAATTATTCTACAGGAGTTACTAATTATTCATTCCTCAGGAATCAGAGCTCAGTAAAATGGAAAACCAACAGATTCTATTAGCATGTTTTTGATAGAAAAGCTACTTTTAAGGTCAGCAGAAGAGCAACATGTGAAGAAGACGAGCTCCTCCAGAATCTCAAGCTGATCCAGAATCAAAAACTAACTCTGCTGTGTGACTGTGGGGTCAATGACACCCATCTCAAGGGATGCTGTGATGCTTCAAAGTGGAGTACTCAGCAAAAACTCAAGGAATGTCCATCTATTCCTACTGCCCCAAAGCAAACCCCAAATGCAGCAAGTCTAACAAATCCCAGAGAAATAAGAAACAAGTACAAACACATAGGAATGATAAGGGAACTGGTTTCCTAATTGATAATTTCTAAAAACACATCCACAACTACTGGAAAAATGATAACCAGAATCCTCACATATTTATATAAACCCTGTTTTCAATTCTAAAGGGTATTAATTATTTTTATTTTTTTTAAAGATTTTATTTATTTATTTGACAGAGAGCATAGGCAGAGTGGCCGGCAGAGGGAGAGGGAGAAGCAGGTTCCCCGCTGAGCAAGAAGCCCGAAGCAGGGCTCCATCCTAGGACCCTGAGATCATGACCTGAGCCGGAGGCAGACACTTAACCGACTGAGCCACCCAGGTGCCCCAGGGTATGCATTATTTTTAATGAAATTAAGAAAGTAATCCATGGCTCTCTTAACAATTCAAACAATGCAAAGGTATATAATCTAAAAGTTAACAGTCACTTCTTTCTTCCCCTTCCCATCCTCCTGACAGAAAGTTAAAATTTTGTGTATCCTTAGGGAAACGTCAATTCTTCCCAAATTGATCTACAGGTTAAAGGCAATTCCAAACAAAATCCCACCAAGGTTTTTTTGTAGACATAGACAAGACTCTTCTAAAATTTATATAGAACAGCAAAGGACCAGGAATAGCTGAAACAATCCAAAAAGGAACAATAGAATGGGAGGAATTTTTTTTCAAGATTTCAAGACTTATTTTAGACAGTCTCTATTAGAGGAGAATAGATACATGGATCGATGGAAGAGAATAGAGAACCCAGAAATAGAACCACACATATATGCCCAACTGATTTGACAAAGGTGCAGAAGCAGTTCAATGAGGAAGAATAGCCTTTTCAACAAATGTTGCCAGAACAGTGGGCATCCACAGGCAAAAAAAGAAACTTGACCTAAACCTCACACTTTATATAAAAATTAACTCAAAACGGACCATGGACTTAAATGTAAAACATAAAACCATGACACTTTTAGAGAAGGAAGAGAAAATATCTAGGACCAACAGCTAGGCAAAGAGTTCTTTGACTTGACATCAAAAGCATTATCCATAAAAGAAAAGTTGGTCAACTGAACCTCATCAAAATCTAAAACAGTGCTCTGTGAAAAATCTTAAGTGAACAAAGACAAGCTATCAACTAAAAGAATATATTTGCAGACCATTTATCTGACAAAAAAAAAGCTTTGTATAGAATATATAACATGTTCTCAAAACTCAACAGTAAAGAAACAATCTAGTTACAAAATGGGCCAAGGAAACAGATATTTCACCAAAGAGGATATATACATAGCAAATAAACCAAGGAAAAGATGGTCAACACCATGAGCCACTAAGGAGATGCAATTTAAAACCACAATGAGATCTCACTACATCCTACTAGATTTGACAAAAAATAAAAATCAGTGATGATACCAAATGCTGGAGAGGATGCAGAGAAACTTGATCATTCAGACTGCTGGTGGGGATATTAAATGGCACAACTACTCTGGAAAACTGCTGGCAGTTTCTCAACAAACGAGAGATGTACTTAGGATGTAACTCAACAATTCCACTTTTGGGCATTTATCTCAGAGCAACAAAAAGTTATGTACATGAATGTTCATAACAGCTTTATTTATCATACTAGCCCAAAACTAGAAGTGACCTAAACATCTTTCAACAAGTGAATCATTACATGGACTACACTACATGCATGCCATGGGCTATGACTCCACAAGCACACGAAAAGATGTTCAACAAAGGGATGGACTCTTGACACACACAACTTGGATGGGTCTCAGGGGAACTGCATGACTGAAAGCTGATCTCAAAAGGTGTATTCTCTAATTCCATTTATATAATGATACAACCATAAAAACAGAGAACAGATTAGTGATTGCCAGGGGTTAAGAATGGAAAGCAGAGCATCAGAGTGACTGTGGCTATTAAAAGGAAGCACAAGAGATCTTTGTGGTGATGGAACAGCTCTGTATCTTGACTCTGGTGGTGGTTATGAATCTACACATGTGATAAAACTGCATAGAACCATACAGCCAGATACACACACACCCAGAGGTGAGTGCATGTAAAACTGATGAAATCTGAAAAATGTCAATTTTATGGTTGTGATATCGCAGTTAACTTATGCAAGATGTTACCACTAGAGGAAGCTGGGTGAGGAGTACACAGAACCTCTTTGTACTATTTCTTTCAACTGCACGTGAATGTACAATTATTTTAAAATAAAAGATTAAAAAAAAAATCAGTCACCTCTTTCTTTCACATACCATCCTCCTGACATTAACCAGGTTAACCTGTTTATGTATCCTTCCATGTCTTTTCCTATGCTTATTTACACTTTTTGTTTTAACGTTGCGAAATGGGATCATACTAAACAACTATTCTACAACTTCCTTTTTTCACAGAACAATATATCATGGACATCTCCCCAGTTAATATACAGAAATCTTCATTTTTTACAGCATTTTTATGTATTATAAAGTGGATAATCTTACCAACATTACAGGGAATAAAAACTTAGAACTTACCCCACTGTTTGTTGTGAAAAGACCAGGGGGTACTTCTCAATTGCCATCGAGCCAGTAGTGGGAGGTGCTGCTTTGTTCAGAATGAGCTTGGCCAAAATGGCCAGAGCTTCATCTTTGACAGCAGCCTCATCAATCAAGAAGCAATTTTCAATATACAAGAGAAAGCTTGGTAGGAAAAGCTAAAAATAAGAAAGGAAATCACATTTATTAACAGATATACATTTCATAACACCTAAGGAAGAGAAGATTCTAACACTTCCACAGATGGAAAAATAGATCATAAACACAGGATCAGAAATCATAAAGGCATGAGACCTCTTCTCCACAGAAACAAAGAAAGCTAGAAGACCATGGAGCAATGCCTAAAAAACTGAGGGAAAATGACAAATCTATAGTTCTATACTTATCTTGCTAGCAATATGAATAAAGACATTTTCCAAGGTACTAAACCTCAAAATTTTACTTCCATTTGTCCTTTCTCTAGCACCTCTGGAAAAAGTGTACCATCAAAATTAGAGAGTAAACTAAAACAAGGGAAAGGTGTGGGACCCAGGAAATAGGAGAAAAGCAAAAGGAAGTCCTATTATGATATCTGTGCCGTGGGCTGAGAAAGCAACTCATTCAGACTTGCACTGCTCTAGGAGGAATGTGTCTAGGAGAGGAAAGAAAAAAAAAAATTGAGCTGCTAAATTTTCTGACATGTGAAAGGCTGTTGGCAGACAGACTCACTGACCAGCTATTCAAGGAAAATCATTTCCAGTTTTTAAAGAATGAGGCAACCTATAACTTCAGCAAAAATGAAAAGGTATATGAAAATGGAAATGTAAATATAAAATACTCGTTTAGAAGGATTATATGGTGAACAGGAATCCAACCAAAATTTGTGATGTAACTCCACTGAGAAGATGAGAGGTAAAAAAGAACCAGAACCCATCCACCATAGGAGGAAGTCTACAGAAGAGTACTAAAGCTAACGAATCAAGGAAAAGCAGTGTATTTGAATGATTAGAAAATATAAAGTAACAGAAAAAAATAGATAAAATCCAAGAGATGTGGTTGTTCTCGGCGAGGAGGATGTGAGTGTAAATCAAGTGATTAACTTTTAGCCCTGCTTGACTTTTAAAACTACAAAGAGTACTCTGATGAAAATAAGATGCTTATAAAAAGACCAAAGGTAACAGGAGAGAAGGAAAAGATGCAGTTGCTAAGAAAACCAGAGCAAGGTAAAGGGCTCTCATTAGACAGGAAGGAAAAGGGCTAGGATATGAATGAAGAAGGTTTTTTTCGAAGCAAATGAGAATATATTAATGATTAAAGGGGAAATCAGAGAACAGACACAGAGACAGGCTTCCACGAAGTATGCTATGGGAGATCAGTTACAAGGAGTGGCAAATGTTGGACGGAAGGGAGGGGATAGGGATAAAATAAATGCAGGATTTAATGGGAAAGATTTCTACCTCATTACATCAGGTATTTACTTAGTAGCAATGAAGTGTATTAGTAACCACCCTGCAATCCAAATGTTTCAGAAACTATTTTCTATGTTTCAAACTCACATAAAAGTTCCTTAAAGTCTTTTTTTAATTTTACTACATGGTTCTATAACTTCCTAAGGGATTATTTAAAAACAAGTTGATTACCTAATGTCATTTCAATGCCCTAGCATATGGAATAAAGTTTTACTTGTGAACTAAAACTGAAATATAATTGCTTTAAAAACTATGGACTAAAACGTCAAATACTTATTCTATTCCTCTCAAAGAAAAATCATAGGATTTTAAGTTTGATTATTTTATCATGACAGATTGATAACAAAACAAAACAAATCCAAAACTTTAATTGCTCACCTGCTCAAACTGCTTCATAACAAACATAACTTCAGAAAAATCCAAAATTAAACGTCTTTCAAATCTGCTCTCAAAAATCTGTGGACCACAGGTAAAAAACATTAAGTGTACAGAGAGTACTTTGTCCATTCCTGAAAATAAAAAACATCTTAAGCCTTCAAAGTCCTCTAACTTGTAAGCAGGAAGTGGTGGGACGCTTGATACAAGTTAATAGAGGCAAAAATGACTTGACTGCTGAATTGACCACTGTGCGGAGGGACACATCCAGGTGTGAGACACTGGCACTGCACCTTTCTCCCTGGGAAAGTAGCTGGAGTAAGGGAGTGGCAGGCACACTTCAACCAGTTTTCTGTACAAATGCTTGCCCTTAGGCTGAAAGAACTTACTTAGAAATGTTAGGGGCACTGGGTTTCTGTGCTGATGCAGGGCTCTGCCTAAGAGCTGCCCAGTTATTTCCCAGAGACAGAGAATTATGAAAGGACAAGCAGCACTATTTTATACCTTTTTCCATACTATATACTGCTACACTGCATGAGTCTAGGAGGAACCTAATTGTCTTTCTATTTTCAATCCCACTTCCCTACAAGCCATCTTCTAAACTTATTAAAATGCAAATCTATCAAATCATTACCCTGCTTAAAATTTCTCCAGGGCTTTTCACTACTTGCAGGATAAAACCCAACCTAACTTTGCAAAGCCAAGCAGAGACTGGTCGATATACACCAAACCTCCTCATGTGTCCTTGTACCCAGTGGCATACGTTTTTGGACTTTTCTTTTTTTTCCATTTCTGGACTTTTTGATGCATCTTCTGCTGTTCCCTCTCCAGGAATTTTTAACCCCTTCACTGACTGGCTGATGATATTTAACCTTCAAGGACTATCCCAAATATAAGTCTTTTGGAAAGCATTCTCTGTCCCTCAACCCCAGGCAGAATGACTCATTGTGTTTCAATATGACATCAATAGATTAATTCAACAGATTATAATAACTCACTCCTAAGGCCCCACTTCCCTAACAATCAAAAACCACAGGTACGAGAATGTCCACCCTGGAATACCTAGTCCATACCCAGTACATGGTAAGCTACACATGTTTGTTGAATATTTTTCATTTACTTTATCACACTGTTTTGCCTCTTTCTATTATAGCATGAAATTCACATCTCCTTGACAAGATTATAAATTCCCTGAAGGCTGAGCCTTTGCCACACTTCATATGTATTCCCCAGGAGGCTTACTCAATGCTAAATATCTTATTAACTACTCAATTAATATCTGTTGAAGTAAATTACTTTTTGTATGGTTTCTTTGATAAGAGTCTCTGGCAAGGGAACATTTTCACCCAGGATCAAAGCAGAAATTACAGCCAAGAGGGTCTCCCGGCAAGCTGTAGAAAGATTGGCTATTTGTAATGTTTGAGATAATACCTGTAAAATAAAAGAAAAAACAATGCACACTTAGCAATAGCTTTTAATGAACAGACTCTAAGCAAATGAAGTTGGGAACTCACCTTACAAACATCGATAGGTTTGATTATCTTTGATCCGTTCCCATGTTTCACAAGTATCAGATATGTTTCTAACAACCTTCTTATCTGTTCAGAACTTTCCCCACAGTTAGTTGTGGTTACTTTTGTATGTAGATCTAAGAGTGATTCCTGCCAATGGGGAATTTAACAGAAAGAATAACTATAAAATATCAAACTTATCTGTTAATCCAGGAATGAAAAGTATTGGGTGAAGCAATTCAAATTTTCACTTTTATTTTGAAAAAAAGACACATTTACCAGGAATCACTAAGGATAATAATAGCTAATATTTTTGAGTGCATGTTTAAACAGTGCTTTGTAAGTATTTACTCACAACCCTCATAGCAACCATGAGGTAGAGAATATTACTGTCTCATAGTCCCACCAGATAAAAAAACCGGGGAACAGAGATTTAAGTAACTTTCCCAAGTCAGTGACAAAGCCAAGATTTGAACAGAGGCAGTCTGGCTCCAAAGGCTGTGCTCTTAACCACACTGGTCTACTACATCTCAAAATACCAAAAAAGTACAGGGGATAGAGAGGGGGAAAAAAGGCGGGGGAAATCCTAATTATGCGTGTAAAAGTATAAAGACACAATTATAAAATACCATCTCCAGCGGTGGTCTGCTAAACTAAGAGCAAGAACAATCAACTCTTGGGCTCCTTATTACACACAAATCCATAAAAATTAGAACTCACTTGCAAACATTCAAAAAATGTACCAAAATGTTCCTTGTAGATGTAGGACGCAGTGGATTTGACCATGTTTTTGAGTGTTTCTCCAACTAAAATCCATGGTAGTTGAGTTTCTGTTTCAGTAACTGGTCCTAGTTTTTGTAAAATTAGCTTCACTGCCTGTGGGAAGCCAATAATCACTAAAATAGACATATACACTCTTATTTTTAAGTATTACACTGTTATTTCCCACTCTGATTATTCCCCACTCTGATTAAGCTATATTAAAATCTGATCTAGAATAATCAAAGATATGGCAGCTTTGATGGTTAAGTTAACTACATGTCTCAAAAGGAATTTCCAAACTAGGATGGAGAATTTTACCATCCAACTGCTCACTCCTCGCTCATTAATCAATTTATGTTACCTTCTAGGATCCAGGATAAAGAAAATAGCAATGATTTTATAAGTAAACATACCTAATCACCTAGAACCTAGGTAGGCATTGTTATTAAAGCCCTAATGCTCCCCCCTTAGTGTTTTTTATTTATTCCAGACTATCCTCTCTCCATACCATTTACATAAATCTTAATTTATTTTTCTTTTAATCTCTTTCACACAGACTCAAAATATCCTCCCGGTCATTTACCTTCCCTGTACAGGAATGAAACATGTTTCTAACTCCTTTGCACATTTCAAAGAGCAACTGTCCAACTCCTTCTACCTTTTCCGGATGTTCATCAAGATCAAGAAACATTATATTGAAAAGTGCATTTTTATCAGAAACCTAAAACACAAAATGCAAGTGGAAAATTGTATTTACAACACAACAAATCCAAATGAAGACATACTATTTACTGTTCCACAGGTTCATAGTTAAATTAGGATAAAATTCTAAAAGGAAGAGACACTTAGAGTGATTTCAAACTACTATAATAGTATACCACTTCTAATTTCACACACAACACTGATTCAGTGAAATAATATCAAGGTCTGTGCCAAGAAAAACTACATAAGGCAACATTCTATCTTTTAAAGTAAATCATATACTTATGAGTAGAAAAGAAATTAATACAAGTGTTTCTGTTTCATTACAAGAACCCTCTAAAATTTACTATGGAAATACAAGCGATATTATGATATCACTTTCTTCTGTGAAATTATCATAAGTTTTTATTACTCTCACCATTCATATATTTACTGACTTGAATTAGAGGGCACTTCTGATATACATACATTGAAAGCTACCGAAAACCTAAGTAACAATAAAAGAGTGACTCAAATTATTTCACAGTAGTGAGCAAAGACAACCTAATGATGAGATAAACTGAAAATAGTAAAAGGTTTCTTCATATACATATATATATATATATATACACACATACATATATATACACACAATTATAAAAGATGTTTCTGTTCATCAGATTCTTGAGGATTAATGAACAATAAACATATATCAGACTAACCTTTCTCATCAAAAAAGTAAAACTTTCAGCAGCAAAATTTCTTATATGTAGTTTTTTATGAGCCAGGAGTGTACTATACATGCTATAAATGAGAAAACAAGACATGTTTAATCACATTTTAATAAATATATACTCCATGTCAACTATATGCCCCACACTGTACGAGGTATGCAAGGAATACGTTACAAGTATAAAGCAAGTGGTTTAAATCTTGCTCAATTACCAAGACAGAGGATGAAGGTAACAGAAAAGAAAAATCCTACGGTTGGTGGTGCAGGTGTTACAGAAAAGACTCCATGAATAGCTGAAACTTGTAGGGATTCCTGAATGATGAGAAGAATTCAGGTGGGTACTGGAGTGCATTTGACTGGAGATAAAAGCAAGAGCAAACACAGGGTGGGCAGAAACGATCACAGTCAAAGGACAAGGAAGCTAGTCCATTTGAGAGAAAAAGGGTGTTGGGGTGAAAATGGCTGCTGCAGATAAAGCTGCCCAGGTAAACAGGAAGCTCTGAACACCAAACAGAGGAGTCTAGACTTTAGCTTACATCTGTGTAAGCACTCACTGTGTTACTTCCTCTAACCAACACAACCCCATGGAGTACAGTTACTGTTATCCCGGTTCCACAGATAATAAGCCTGAGACAGAAAGGCTAAGCAACCTTCTCAAGGTCATAGACACGTAGCTATAACTAAATAATTACTTGTAAAATCACATTGTTTAAATGGGTGACATGGTTTAAACATGGTCTCCTATTTTTACCATATCCTCAGTATCTAGCACTTCCTTGCCCACAGCAGGTACTAATAAATATTGGCTGAATGAGAAATGAGTATTTCCAAGAGAGTAATTTAGTAACAGTATACAGGATGAAATAAAAGAAGAGCTGGCAGTCCAACTAGAAAGCTGCTCAAGTCATGTGAGCGTGGGCAAACAAGGGCATGAAAGAAGCTTATGGTAGAGGGAAATGCTGAAAGATGGACCAAGAGGCATTTCAAGAGTCCTTGCAGTGGAAGCAAAGACCTTACAGTGGCCACAAGGCCCTTATGTGATCTGGACCCTACTAGTACATGTAGCACCATCTAATTACTCTCTGCTTATACGACCATGACTCCTTGCTGTTCCTCGCACACACCAGGCATGCACCTAAGATGTTCTCCTGCTAGACTGTAAACTTTGTACAGAGAGGGATTTTTATCTGTTTTATTTGCAATTGTATCTCAAGTGTCGTACACGTAGGCAGGGCTCAATAAACACTCACTGAATTGAGTGAATACATGAATAACAGAATCAAGAAGATGTGGAGTCCCTGAAGACAAGTGGGTCAAAAATGCCTCTGAGACACCAAGCCTCAGTTGATGAGAAGAAAAATGGAATCACTGTTGGAAAATGCGCAAACAGGGCCTAGCAGAGAGTACATATTTACTGAACACATGAATGGATGAAGAGTTACTTTCAGTGGGAATGTACTGACTCTGATTTCAGTAATACTTAAGTGGAAATAGCCAGGCTGTTGAAGATGTCACACTGAGAGAAAATATATTTAGAACTGGAAAGCCCGACTTAGGAGATATAAAAGTAACAACAGAAGTCATGATCCCAAATAAGCTATACAGTGGTGCCCCCCCCTCCCTTATCTGCGGTTTCACGCTCCATGGTCTCAGTTACCCATGGTCAACTGCAGTCTGGAATCAGATGCTCCTCCTACTGACTACGGTCAGAAGGTCGACAGGAGCCCAGCATTACATGACAACACATACGTCGTCATTCCCCTCACCTCATCTCATCATGTAGGCATTTTATCATCTCGCATCACCACAAGAAAAAGCGTGAGTACGGTACAATAAGGTATTTTTGAAGAGAGATCACATTCACACAACTTTTATAACTAAAGGTTGTTCTAATACTAGTTATTGCTGTTAATCTCTTACTGTGCATTTATGAATGATACTTTATCACAGGTATGTATGCATAGGAAAAAATATAGCACATATAGAGTTCAGTACTATCTATGCTTTTAGGTATCTACTGGGGGTCTTGGAACATAAACCCCACACATAAGGGGGGACTACTGTACATTGCCCCAAGATCTTGCTGGTTTTGAATGAAGTAATCTTGGTTTCTAATACATTTTACCAAAAGCTTCATAGAGAACTAGTAAAGACTGGAAAAATATTTCTTTCTCATTCTTTGTTCAAAGTAGGGTAGAGGGAAGGGTGATTCAATGAAGGGTAGGGTGAAGGGGGGTGGTACAAAAAATCGACAGTTCTATCCCACACCCACACCTATATTTGGGAGGAGGGCGTTAATCTTCATATTCCTATGGCAATTAAAGTATGTAGAAATAATCAGTAAATCAAGGGGAAAATTTGATCAAGTCCCTGACTGAAATTGATTATAAACAATCTTTCTCTTAAACAGAAAGGAACTATGGAATTCATCCTTTTTCCCTGTCCACATTTGCTCACAATGTTCCCTGAGTATCTCTTTGGGCTTACTTAATATGTTAGGGGCTGGGTAAATGCATATTTAAGACTGGATTCTTGAAGTGTTCACAGGTTTGTAAAACACATCATTACACTGTGAAGAAACAATTATAACAGAAGTTGTGTGATGTAAGTGTATAAAATGCCAGAGGGGTTCAGAGTAAAAAGCTTTTTGGCTAAGGTGCCCAGAAATATCTGTGGAGGTTATGAAAACCAAGGTTGGCTTTGATGGCCAGAGGCAGGATTTTAGTAGCTGGAGATAAGAGAAGATCAGGTCAATACAGATTAATAGAATAGACTATGGACCACTTTGGCTGGAGAACCAATTTCATATAATTAGAGACTGAGTTGGAAATGCAGTGTGGAGTCAGACAGAACCCAAGGAAAAAACAATCAAAAAATCATGTCAAGTTAGGCAGCCATGTCAGCAGGTATACATGATGGGTATTGTGCATATTTTAACTAAATATGGGGTGGGAGTGAGAAATCCTGGTTGTTAGTATTGATAAAGACTGCACTTGACCAAAAAACAAAAACTTGAACGCTAAATAATTTCATTACTGAGGAGGACTGTCCTATTTAGGAGCCTCAAGCACAAGCACACAGTTGTTTTCACAGAGGCAATCTTGAATATTTAACACGTGTATATTGCTTTTGTTCTCGAAACTGATGCAAGCGGGGAGCAGAACTGACTGTAGACAGACTTGAGAAATCTTTTGGGGATGATGGAAATGTTCTTTAATTCTTTAATTATGGTCATAATTTGCACAACTTTATAAATTTACTAAACAGCACTGAATTGTAAATAAGATAAAATCATATTTAAAAATGACAAAACCCCTAAACCAAACCTGTATTAGAGAGAGAAAAGGGTCACCTGTATATATTGGACATGTCCTTCACCATTAGTCTCCACAGGTACTTGTAAAGATAGGACAGTGAGGTGAAAGCCCATTCTAGTAACTCTGTGTCCTGAGTCTCCAGGATTGAGGTGATAGTCAGGAAAAATTCCTGAAAATGTGGATAGAAGTCCGTCTGCAGATCTCGTGCCAACTGTACAACCAAACTGGATTAAAAATAAGTAGAAGTAACTGATTGAGACATACATATCAAGAAACAAAGACTGCAAATCTATTTCACAAATGACAGCAGATTGCCTGTGATCACAGGATTAATTAAACCTTTCAAATTAAGTCTTAAGAGATATATAACATTTTTCACATTTTAAGGGTTTAGCAAAGAAATCAGGCTGGAGCAAGAAGGTGCATTTCATCACAAGTTATGCTCAGTCATTCCTGTAGTGTGAAAGAAAAATAGTGTTTTCTTAAATGTATAAAACAAAAGCAAAAAAAGGATACCTCAAAGATTCTGCTTTATGGCAAAGCACTAATGTTCTGATCTAGCAGAAAAGGTAAATTCTTGTTTTTAAATTCAAATACCAGATATAAGGCAAATGTAGCTATAAAACACAACCTTTATTAGTTTCTTTTTTTAAAAATAATTTATTTATTTAAGAAAGAGAGAGAGAGCATGGGAGAGAGTGAGCACAAGTGGGGGAGGGATGGGGGAGAGGGAAAAGCAGACACCCCACCGAGCAGGGAGCCCAACACAGCGTTCAATCCCAGGATCCCGGGATCATGACCTGCACCAAAGGCAGTTGCTTAACTGACTGAGCCATCCCAGTGCCCTTTAAAACACCTCTTTTTTTTTTAAAAGATTTTATTTATTTATTTGAGAGAGAGAAAGGGAGCGAGCACAAGTGAGGGCAGGAGCAGAGGGAGAAGCAGACTCCTGGCTGAGCAGGGAGCCTGACGTGGGGCTCGATCCCAGGATCCTGAGCTGAAGGCAGAAGCTTAACCGACTGAGCCACCCGGGTGCCCCAAAACACAGCCTTTCTTAAAATTCAGGGAAGTGTTATTGAGCTTTCTCTCAACATACTACTTACTCCAAAAGGGGCTGATAGGCAAAACTGTTCTTGATTTGCAGGTGAGTCTTGAGACTCTGAACTATCTCATTTTGATGATAGACCAATTGATTGAAGGATTGGCATTTGTCAATAACTTCTTTGTAAAATTTGCCTGGGTAAAAAAAAAGAAGAGAGCAAGAATAGGTTCTGCTTTTCTACCATACCACTATTTAGTTGTTTTGAACACATAAAGTGCAAATGATGGGAGAATAAAATAGGAACAAAATGGAATATACCAAAGTGTTCTGTAAGGTTCAATTCTCTCCATTTCAGCAGACCCTCAAAAAAGTAGGTTTCGACTTCCTGCCAAGATTAAAGCAGTCCATTAATTAGGCAACTCAAAAACTATGATCAAAGTAAATAAGAATAATGATATACCTTGAGACTATGATAAGAGTCAAGAGTTTAAAAACATTTCTTTTAAAGGGCATTAACTAACACACTTAAAAAGCAATCAGCTGTACAATATAGGCACATGATTTACAAAAACAATATTTTATTGATTTGGTTGCAGCAAATAATTCACTAAAACCTATGTAATAGTCACACTAAGGAGAAAATTTTTTTTCTGTTTTCTACAATTTTAGGCCCAGGAAAAAAATGTGCTGACTTTTAACAGTTTTCATTCTGCTTTTAGAAATATGAATTATAACCTTGTGGGGAAGTACTCTGGCAATTATTAAGATGAAAAACAAAAGCCAGGTATGTCCTCTGACCCATCAATTCCCATTTTAGAGATATTTCTTATAAAACTTACAAACATACCAGTATAAAGATGTTTATTCAGCTCTACTGTAGTGGGGGAAAAACATCAAACACCCTAAATATCCAACAATAGGAAAGTGTTTAATGTAACCTATGGCCCATACATACTAAGGTATATTACATGGCTATTAAAAATAGTTATATCTCTATTGAATTAGAAGGATGTTGATGATAAACCCCCACAGTGATAAAAGCAAGAAACGTAGTGAAGTACATAGGAGGAACCAATTTTTTATAAATACACACATTTGCACATATTATATGAGAGAAAAGTACAGAATACATATATACCAAATTGTCAATATTAGTTTCTTTGACAATAAGGAATGGGAGGGGTGAGATAACAGGTTTTTCTAAGTTCACCAATATGTTGTCATGTTATTTAGCTTATTATCACAGTATATATTACTTTGTACTTTGGAAAAGTAAAACCAATAAACTTTTACTGTGTGTGTGTATGGAGAGAGAATATAAACTAGTATACACACAAGCAGCATGCCAAATCTTCTACAATCTCAAAATATGTCACTTTCCCTTTGCACTGTGATTCACAGCCCCTACCACAAAGGGATGGAGTCTACTTCCTCACTCCTTCAATCTGGCCTCGCTTTCTGACTTCCTTTGACCATAATGTGTAATGGAAATGATCTTGCAACGGGCAAAGTTAGGCTTTAAGAGGCTTTGTAGCTTCTGCTTTCCCTCTCTCGAAAAGAACCAGCCATCATGAAAAGAAGCCTACTGGAGAATAAGAGACCACGAGTACAACCAAGACTAACATGCCCCTAGTCAAATGTGATTGAGACCGTTGTGGACCATCCAGCCCAAGATCCTATCCTAGGCTCTCTTCTCTACTAACTCGACATTCTCTTACCCATCTATCTCTCCTGTGGCCCATAAACCATATACTGAATGCTAAATCTGTAATTCCACCTCCAAAGTTACCTGTACTTCTCCAGATCCATCATGTGGATGGCCCTAGGTATATCATTAACAAGCCCCAAATGGAACCAACCCTGTGCTTCTTCTCTTCCTACAAATCTATCTTGGTAAGTTACGTTCTCAACCACCCCGTTGTTAGAACCAAAAACCTTAATCCCCTTCCTCCTTTCATAACCAGCAGGTCACAAGACCTATCCATTCTACTTTTTTAATATCTCTGGAATCCTTTCCTTTTCTCCCTCTTGACTGCTACTTAGATGACTACCATATCCTCACACCTGGTTGTCCTGACTCCACTCCTGCTCTTTCTTCCACATTAAAGCCAGAAAGATCTAAAACTTAGACCTGATCTTGCCACTCACTGCCCTACAATCCTTACAATCCTAGAATGACATCCCATAGCTTCAGGATAAAATGCAAACTTAGCTTGACATATGAAGTCCTCTATGCTCCTTGACTATTTCTTCAGTTTTATCTCTCACCAGCTATGTCCCTCCACTACCCCAGTTATCATCAACACACATAAACATCACATATACAATTATAAACACATTGAAATGTTTTGCAGTTTCTTGAATGTGACATGCATTTTCTAGCCTCTGTTTATACAGGCTTCTCTCTCAGCCTGAACCAGCATTTCCTGTCTTCTTTGCCATGCTAAAACCTATACAAATAACAAGACTCAATTCAGCTTTCATCTTGTCTACATTACCTTTTCAACACCCTACCGTATACCCACAAGGAATTTAGGTTACGCTCCTTCAGTATGAGTTGCCAAAGCCTTAAGCGCTTATCCAGATCACCTCAGTCAACATGCTACATTAACAAACTGGAGATAAGGCAGCCAAAGAGACAGTGAGCAGAGTCTGACTAGAGCCAAGTGAAGAACTGTAAGAACTGAAGTTGAATCCCTAAGTTAAAGGCATGATATATAGGACCTTAAAAGGCTAACAGAGAAACCATGACTTCATGTAGCAAAACAAGATTTTTAAGTAGAGGTGTGACTGAGTTAAGAGCATGTTTACAAAATTATGTGGTTTAGCCCCCTCTTTTTTTTATAAAGGAGGAAACTAAGCCCCAGGAAAGTGATGTGCTTAAAGTCTCTTTAAAATTGCAGCTTTAGGCGTATGAATCTGCAGCAGAGCTCTTAGAATGCACATGGGAAAGGGAGAGGCTAGAATCACAGAAGCCACCTAAGTGTCTTGTTAACTGTCTAACACAGCATCACCCAACAGAACTTTCTACAATGATGGAAATGTTCCATATCTGCACTTGTCCAATATGGTAGCAACTAGCCACATATGGCTATTGAGCCCTTGAATTTTTATTTTGCTTTAATTTACATTTAATTTGCTGTGTGTAGCTACTGTATAAGACCACACAGGTCTAATGCATTTCATGTTCATAAAGGAATGGCCTAAAAAACAATTCACTTCTACTAAGAGGAGAGACTAAAAAATCAACTATGAATACTTGAAGATTGGATAATATAATGTTCTCTTACCTCATCATAGCTTGCAGTTCTATCAATCCGGTGAATAATATCAATATTCACATTCCCCAGTCGTTCAGCAAATGTAAGGAACTGTTGGGGGATATTTAATATACAATCATCATTTAATACTTATCACATCTTGAATCCCTGTTTTGAATGCTGTATAATAATCACATGTTGACAATTTCCTTGTGAAAACAGAAAGTTTAAAGTTTCAATAAGCTTCCTCCCGTGCTATCATTAAAAATAACCGTATGCTTTGCTTGCAGTTTCAGACTTGTATTTTCAATCAATCATAAAATATATAATTGTGTTTTGTAACTAGAAGTAGACATCACTGATGAATTACAAAAGTGTAAAAACAAACTCAAAGACAGTCTTAAACGCGCTGCACTACTTTATTAAAATAATTAAATACTTCCATGAATGTATTTGCAGAAGTTCAGTTGTGTCATTTCAAATAAAATTTCCATGCTAGATTGTGGTGGACCAGGTGAAAGTTGGCGATGTGGCTTCGCCAGATGTGTTAGGTTTCATGACCCGCTACAAGCAGAGGGATCTGGTTAAGTCGCTGCAACAATAGTGTTTTAAAAACACAAACGGTTGTACAGTAACAAAGGAATTCTCAGGGAACAAACAAAAAGTGATGTCACGGCCGTTAGCTGGAAATCACTCACCTCCTCCCGCCGGCTCGCCCAATTTGATCTTTATGGATAAAAGAGCAGTGGAGAACATCTCCTAAGCAGTTAGTCTATGATCATGAATCTCACTCTGGGCTAAGGGAATTCCCAGGCAAGTCAGGCCCCACAAACCACGGGCAAAGTCGGCTATCCAGACGTCTTTCCCCACCTCATGTTTACTACACCCGGAAAGTCTCCCTCCTTTGCCAGATAAGGGACTCACGCTCGGCCCAGAACACTACAGCCCCGGGAGTCCCGCTCAGACCCAGTAGCAAGGCTGAGGCAGCAGGGACCCACACCTCTGTTCTCGGCCCAAGTTCCTTTGCTCACCCGGTACGTGTTTTCGGTCTTGTGGGAAACGGGCTTTGTCTTCATGGCTGCAGAGAGGCAGGGGGCCGCGAGGACCTAGTTGGGGGAGGTCGAAGGGATGCAACAGACGGTACGGAGGGAAACTGGCTCACACACTTGCATGCACTCTCCGATTGCCGGGTGCTCGGAATTCATCACGTGCGGCTTGTGCCCCTGGGCGCCGCCATATTGAAGACGGGGAGGGGAACTGGAAGGATCACGTGGGCGGAAGAAGCGACAGAGCAGGCGCAGCCTCCTGGGAACCCGGCGGGGCCTCGGAGAGCTGCTGCAGGTGCGGGCGTGGAGTTCTTTTTCTCGTTTCAGGAAAGATTTCTAGGAAAAATGTGTATTTTTATTATAAAAGAAAACATGCCAGTCAGCACTGTCAGCTAACAGGCATTATCCTTTAGCTATGCACCCTGCAAAGCTCTTTACATTAATAATTTCATAGTAAAACTCATTGTGAACGCTACGTTAACATAATTAAGGAGCATATTTTTAAACCCCTTTGGCATACGAAGAAAGCAGGGATGTGCAGCTGGTAAGTGGCAGTCTAGCAGAAGTCTCCGAGCGTCAAAGTCTGATACTCTTAACCACTACCCGTCCAAATAAAATTGAAAAATAGAAAAGGAGTTTTAGGGGAAAAAAATCTTACAATTTCATGTGCAGTCAGTTAATATTTCGGTGTTTTTCCTACCACTCTTATGTTGTGAAACATAATTGCTACCAACGGTTGTATGTATATTTTTTTCACTTACTCACTCAACAAGTATTTTTTGAGAATCTACAATGGGCCATGCCCTGTTCTGTGAGCTGAACAAGACAGACAATAATAATATTAATATAATTCTGTTTGGAAATATTTAGTGTGATGCTTACAGCTTACACAAGGAGAGATGTTAAGTAGACAACTGAATACATTCCTGCCCAGAGCTCAGTGTAGAGGTCAGGGCTGGAGGTGTGACTTACATGCCTTAAATACTCTTCACTGCTGAACATGTTGGGTATTTAAAGCCATGGAACTGGTTGAGATCATTTAGGAAGAGAGTGATGAAAAGGAGGATGAAGAAGAGAAGACCCAGTTGGACCTTGGAGTGCTCCAACATTTAGCAGTGGACTGGAAGGAGAATGGGATAGAGAGCCAGTGAGGTAGATACAGGCTAGTCTTGGCATGGAAGAAGAACCAGTGGTCAACTATGCTGAAAGCTGAGGCTAGGAAAGGAGCTGCTGGATCTGACAAGGTGAAGGTCACTGGTGACCTTGATAAGTACAGTCCAGTGTTGAAGAAAGGAAGCAAAATATGCATGGACTGTGGAGGAAATTGGGTGAAGAAGTGAAGTAGGTATAACACTTTCATACTATTATTGGCATTATGACATCAGTATTTTCTATGTCATCATGGGATTGTAAGTATTTTTAATGGCTCCATAGCATTCATGAATTTTTTAATAATAAAATATAGAAGTGCCCAATATTTGTCTGGTTTCCAGTAACCTGTTTTTTTTTTTTTCTTTAGGTGGTTCTTCACCTTAATGCATCACAGATCTCTTAAGGAAGTCAGTGAAAGCTGTAGACCTTCTCCTCAGAAAAGAGCAAATAAAGTCATTCACACTAAACTGCGTAGATGATTTCAGAAAATTAGAAGTCTGCAGTCATCTGAAGGTAAGAGCCTCCACTCTAAGCAATATTCCCAAACTGTTGCTAAAATCACCCCCCAGATAATTGTGTCCTTTCTTTTCTTGGTGCCAAGACCTTGAATACCTCATGCCATCCTCTGTTTTTCCCCACTGTTGTTCTGCCTGGTACATTTATTCCAGTCAGGAAACTTACAGTTCCTTCCTTCCTTCTTAAGCTTGATCGTGAATTCTTGGAAGTTTTACCTTTTAATCTTCGTTTCCTTATTGCCTAGCACACAGCAGTTTCAAGTCCACGGGACTATATGATTACATGAGTTTATGGAAGTGGAGTCCAGAGAAGGCTTCTGGGTACAGGTGACATCTAAGCTGAGACCCAGGAAATGAATAGAAGTTAGCCAGGCAAAGGAGGAACACAGACATGAATGATGTTATCTAGGTAAAGGGAAAAGTATAAAATGAAGGGAATAGTGTATGAAAAGGTTCAAAATGGTTGAGTATAAATTTGGTATTTTTAATATCTCATTCTAAGCCACACCCTGTCAAAGTAGCACTGGGCATTGGGATCATCCCTATCATCCTTGGGCTAATGGAAAACATAAGGGACAGGGTGAAACTGAGAGGTGGGGAGAGCCTCAGTTTCCTGATCTATAAAGTGGGGACAGCAGTCATACAAGGCTGCTGAAAGATTACCTAAGGTATTATATGTGATGGTCTGGGAGGGGGCGGGTCTGTCTGGTGTCATGGTCTTGTCTAGAAAGGGGCTCAAGGGGTGCAATATGTCAAATCAGAGATGATCTCGACCCAACAAGGGACTAAGGAGGTGAGGTCTCAAATGAACAGAGGCAAGTGAAGTGAAAGAGAAGAAAGAGTGGACCAAGGATGATCTCTTAGTGACCTGTAAGTAGCAGGGCAAGCTGATTCAGAAGTCATTCTGTTCTTGAGAGAACTATGTACTGTTCGCAGTTGTGTGGAAATCAGGAGGCATCAAGAGCATGGAGGTTAGATCCAGAACAGTTGGGATTTTCCATGTTTAGTTGATAAGTGACTAGTGACTTAACCACTCAGCCTCAGTTTCCTTATCTTTCAAAAAAGCATAGTAGTCCAATCTGCCTTTTTACTTTCTGGTCGGTAAGGAGATCCTTTGTTGTAAAGCAGGTCAAAATCTCCTATAACCTAACAGAGCTATTTAAACATTAGTTATTATTATTTTAATAGTTATCTTTCTCAGTTATGTGACCACATTTTAGCATGGGAGCACTGAGCTTCTATTCTCCTTTCCCTTGTTTAAAATGTAGGGATCAGAGACATCAGACCAGAAATTACAGATTGATGGGTTTGACAAGCCCAGTGTAGCCTAGTAGTATATTTTGTTTACAATAATCTTTTTTTTAAAATATTTTATTTATTTATTTCAGAGAGAAAGAAAGCACAAGCAGGGGGTGAGGGGCCAGTTGGGCAGAGGGAGGAGGAGAAGCAGACTCTGCAGAGCAGGGAGCTCGATGTGGTGCTCAATCCCAGGACCCTGGGATCATGACCTGAGCCGAAGGCAGACGCTTAACCGACTGAGCCACCCAGGCACCCCTGTTTACAATATTCTTAAAATATTTTAATTTGTCAAACACCTAGGGATTTCAGGTGAAGTCCAGATTTCCAGCTTCTCTTAAAAAAAAATCCACGGAACTCACCCACATTTGGAAAAGCATCAGTCGAGGCACCTGGGTGGCTGTCAGTTAAGTGTGTCCAACTCTTGATTTCACCTCAGGTCATGATCTCTGGGTCCTGAGATGGAGCCCCACATTGGGCTCCCCCCTGAGCATGGAGCCTACTTAAGATTCCCTCTCTTCCTCTGCCCCAACCTCCACCCTCCCCCTGCCACACTCAACCTCCCCCCTACCCCCTGCCACACTCGTGCTCTCTCTCTCTCTCTAAAAAAAAAAAAAAGGAAAAGCAACAGTCAGCTGGAATTGAATAGTGGCAGCTCCCTTTCCCCTGTCCCTACCACTCCCTGCTGTCCTTCCCTGGCCCATACACTGGTTTAAGGTGTCCACCTGGCCCTGTAGGCATTTCAGTTTTCAGCCTCTGCATTAGACTCTTCCAAGTGGAAGGCTATTATCTTCGGTTTTAAACATACCTCTGGCAAATAGGTTGCTTCTGCTGCTTTTCTTGTTGAATACAGTGAGTGGCTCAGCTATTTATAGGGGCATTGGTGTGGTTCTCAGTTGGTGTGAAAATATCTGTAATACCCTCCCCCATCCCCTGAAACACACACAGAAACATGTGCACATACACATGCATGTGCATATATATGCACGCATACACTCATGTGTACACACCATTGCCTTCTGTGTTCAGCTTGTTTCTTCCTCATTTCCACTCACCATTTGCATTTCTGTCATGAACATTAAATTCCTTATTTTCTTTTAAAAGCTGTAAGAGGAGGCTCAGTTGGTTAAGCATCTGCCTTCGGCTCGGGTCGTGATCCTGGGGTCCTGGGATCAGGTCCCATGTCGGGTTCCCTGCTCAGCGGGGAGTGTGCTTCTCCCTCTCCCTTCGCCCCTCCCCATGACTTGTTCTCTCTCTCTCTCAAACAAATAAATAAAAATCTTTTAAAAAAAGATATCAGAGGTTAACCTAAATTAACCTGCGTTTTGAACAATTTAAGCATCTACATATTTTTACATACTTATTTTCATGATTTCTACTCTTTATTTCTATCCTTAACTAGATTACTGATGTCTTCTTTTGGAAGGATGAGGAGTCTCATAATTTGGATATATTTCTCCTTTTCCATTTTCCTACTCTCCCCTCGGGTTATGCCATTTCATCAAATTGATTTTTGTCTTCGTTGTTTTACATCATAGTTGCTTCTTTGAATGAGAGGTGGGGTGAGCTTGGACTCCACTGCCAGGTCTCCCAGGATCCCTTGCTCTGCCACAACTGTGTGGGTCTCAGTTTACTGAGACAATTCAAGTGCCCCTCATGGGGTTGTTATGAAGAATCAGTAACCTAGTAAGTTGGTTTTCCAAGTGTGGTCCCCCTACCAGCAGCATCAGCACCCTATGGGAACTTGTTAGAAATGCAAGTTCTCAGGCCCCACTGCAAACATACTGAATCAGAAACTCTGGAGGTGGGGCCCCTGGTAATGAGTGTTTTCACAAGCCTGCCAGATGATTCTGATGCAGGCTTAAATTCGGGAATCACTGATTTAATGTATGTTAAAACATCTAGAACATTGACACATACCTCACTCTTGGTGTCTGAGGTTCAGGTTAGGTACCAGGGAAGGCCTGTGTCTGAGGCTGTATTTCTTTGGCTAACTAATTGGTTCAGAGAAGAGCATGTGTCCCAAACTGGGCTAAGAGCCCTATCTGGACCTTTGGGTAGAGCTTTAGGGAAAGAAATGCTTCCTTTTTTTTTTGATGTGCCAAGATAATAGGACCTTGAAGCTATTGGTGGCCATTGTTATCACTACAAGGAGAAGTTGACCTGAAAATGAAGTTTATGCAAAGGAAAATAGAGCTGAGAGAAAAATAGGGAGGGAAGGGAGAGGGAGA